TTTCATAACTACCAGGGGGTATAGTAATTACTTGATTATCAATATAAAATTTATTTTTACCCTCATCAATATTAGGAATTGAATTGAAAGTTAACAATTCAACTAAGCCAAGTACATAATTTCTATTAGGTAATAGTTCTATTGGTGGAAAATATTCAGCCTCCAGAATAGATGAATTGCCAGAGATAGTTAAAGTAAACGATTCATCCATGATGATGACTTTTTATAAACTGATTAGGTTATATAAATACCATCATTTATATAGAATATATTTTTGTGTGATTTCAAGTTGTCCACATAAAAACTTAAGACATAAATGACCACAATGAAAAGTATCATAATCTTGATAATTTTTATGATTGTATTGTATTAGAGTATTGTAACCTAAATAACTAACAAGTTCAAATGGTGGTTGAAGATTACCAAAACTGTCAAAGTATTCAGCTTTATTATTAACTTTTTTATATGCAACCCAATGGGTTCCAGAACCATCTTTATCATCTAAATTAATAATAGCTGATTCATTTTTTCGCGGCCCTGTTGTCGGCAATTCATTTCGCATAAAAACCCCTCTAAAGTTAGAAATTTTCATGTCTTTAACAAATTTGAGCAACTCAAAGTCAGTTAGTGCTCGCTTAGGAAGTATCAAAAAAAATTTTTTTTTGAACACTTTTTTATTCCTTGTCCTCTTTGATAAGGTTTTAAATGAAGGCCTGATCCTTTTGAAAACGGTTTTAAATGAAGACCTAATCCTTGTCGATAGGGTTTCAAATGTAGACCTTTACCAAGTGCAATATCTTCCATTGCTTTATTATGGCGGTGAGCTTCTTTTAATTTATCTTTTGCTGCACTTGCACTATTTACAGCTTTTGATACACCTGCTACACCTCCAGTTAGTGCTCCAAGGGCGCTTAATCCAGCAAAAATTGGAATTAATGGTAGTAAACCACCAATTTTTGAAGGTACAGGCAAGATGCGCGGTGCTAAAATTTTCTTTCTTCCTCCTGCATTTCTAACAGCTTTCCGAGCAGTTTCAATGGCACTTTTAATTGTTGATTGAGCATCATTACCAGGAATTATGGATTTTCTAGCTGCATCTACAATTTTTCTGAGGGCAGTTAGTTTTTTAGAAGATATCTTTTTTTTCTTCCTTCCACCCAAGCCTAATTTTGACTTTCTCTTTCTCCTAACTCCCATACCTAATTTTGATTTAACTTTCATAGTTCCAGATATAGCTAAAGCAGCAGCTTTTTCACCTAAACTGGAATCGTTTGCTGTAACACGTTCCCAAGCCTTCTCAGCTAACACTCTATCAGCAACGTTTCTTGCTTCTACGTTTTCTCGATTTTTCGAATATGAGATATCGTGCTCCTTACAAGCGGCGTCCAGAAGATTAATACCCGGATCACCTTTTTGTAGACGTTTTACTAACTTTGTGCCTGGTCCACAATATTGATAACCAGGCAGATGTAATTCAAATGGTAACTTATTTATAAGACTATTGACTAAACCTTTCCCTCGAGAGCGATGATGAATAATCATACCTTACTCTATGAAAGTTTAAAATAGAATGACTGAAAGGTTATATAAGCGCTGCATTTATACCTTTTACAACAGTCTACATCAGGATGCGATTCAAGGAACAACCTAATAAGCTGCCAGTCGTAAATCTGGACTCAATTGTTGAACAACAAGAGAAGAAAGTTAAGCGTCATGGTAGTTTATTATCAGGTAGTATTCGTGCAATTTTCTGTGGCCCATCAAATTGTGGAAAAACAAATGTATTACTATCTCTAATTCTAGATCCTAATGGTCTCAGATTTGACAACATTTACTTATACTCAAAATCATTACAACAACCAAAATATAAATTCTTAGAACAAGTTGTGAGTAACGTTGATGGAGTTGAATATTTACCATTTAGTGATCATGAAGAAGTAATTGCTCCTAAAGAAGCAAAACAAAATTCAATATTTATATTTGACGATATTGCTTGTGAAAAGCAAGACAACGTAAGGGCATTCTTTTGTATGGGTAGACATGTTGACGTTGATTGTTTTTACCTCTGTCAAATATATGCTAGAATTCCTAAACATTTAGTACGTGATAATGTTAATTTATTAGTCCTTTTTCGTCAAGATGAGAAAAATTTAAGACATGTGTATGATGATCATGTTAATACTGACATGACATTTAATCAATTTCGAGAGTTATGTTCAACATGTTGGAATTCAGACAAATATGGCTTTGTAGTAATTGATAAAGATTCTAATTTAAATGATGGAAGATATAGAAAAGGATTCGACAGTTTTCTAGCACTATAAATACACTATAATTTTTAAAATAGTATTAGTGTTGTTTTAAAACTTGAAATATCAACATGTTTCATAAAGAGAAAGAGTATCTACGTCAAATTGCTAAAGCTAGTGAGGCAATTAGACGGAAGCATCGTATGTTGAAATTAGGGAAGGAAGCTGTCGAAAATGTTTTGAATGAAACCTTTAAACCAGTAGTTCAACCTTTACAAAAAATTATTAACTTGACAGATTATAAACATGAAAATGTTAATATTGAAAAGAAAGAAGAGATTGAAAATAAAGCTGCATCTGATAAAAATGATAGTGATGATGATATAAATTATATGAGTACTGATGATGGTGAAACACTAAAACCCGGATCTGACATTGATAAATTAGTTAGTAAATATATATTTTTGATAAAACATAATAGAAAACAATGTTTGGATATGATATATGGAGTACGCAAAGCTAATGATGGTTCCCTTATGATTGGTAATAAAACCATAATCTTTAAAAATCACATTGTAGATATTGAAGATAAACGTTTTAAAATTACCTCTGGGTTATTAGAACTTTTATTTAAAAACAAACCTGAAAAATCATACATTAGTGAACATGATATGAATAGTTATAAACAAATTCTTACCACCTCCAATGCACATAGAAAAAACTATAGTTCCTCTAACTCTATTCATAGAGATAAAAGTTTTAAATACATGAATATTATATCAAAATTATTTCCTCCTACAAAAGAGTCATCTATAAGTGGTAGTTCACTACCTAAATTTATGATTGCGAATAAAAGTTTTAAACCAGATTATATTTATTGGGATGATCCAAATGAACTGGTTGATCGTCTTCGATTACTTATGGCATCTCAAGGAGCTGGTAATACTAGTCATAATAATGAAATTATGTCAATTATTGAGGAATTACGTGAGGCTAAAATCATATATTAAGGTGTGCTTTAGTAAATGTCATTCATTTCAATAATGAGCATTGATCTGTTCGGACATCCTCTCAGTCAAGGAGGAACAGTAATAGCAAGACGTGGACCTACTGGAGTTGGATTTAAAGTTAATTCAAGTGGACACTTTGATATAGATAATAAAAGACTTTGTAACGTTAAAGACGCTGAAGAACTGCATGATGCAGTAAATTTAAGACTTGCACAAAACATTGTAAAAAACGAAATAAAAACTATTTTCCAAGTTACGTCATCATTAAGATCATCTATTGATGACTTGAATCTTTTTATGCAAATTATTGAAGACAGAGTTAACGAAAAACTAAAACAAATTGAATCACAGCAAAATTTATATTTAATGCAGCTAAATTTATTAAAGAATGATGGCTGATAAAAAGTTAACAGTAGTTACTGAACTTCATACACAGGCTAGAAAAAATTTCCATCGCCGTCGCGTAGAAATGCGTGATATTGATGACACCTGGCAAGCAGATTTAGTTGAAATGCTACCTTATTCAAAAATAAATAAAGGTTACAATTATTTACTTACAGTCATAGATATTTTATCCAAGTATGCTTGGGCTGTTCCAGTAAAAAGTAAAAATGGAAAAGATGTGACTAACGCAATGAAATTCATATTTGAAAAAGGACGTATTCCAAAGAACCTTCATTCCGATAAAGGTAAAGAATTCTACAATTCTCAATTTGAAGCTTTAATGAAAAAGTACAAAATTAATTTTTATTCAACATACAGTAACTTGAAAGCATCTATTGTTGAAAGATTTAATAGAACACTTAAAAGGAAAATGTGGATGCAATTCAGTTTACGAGGAAATTACAAGTGGTATGATATATTACCTAACCTCATTTCTACTTATAATGACACAAAACATAGAACAATTGGAATGAAGCCTAAAGATGTTACTGCACAACATGTTGATATTTTAAAAGATCGAATCTCGAAGCTCAGAAAAATTCCGTTAAGACGATCTAAATTTAAAATTGGTGACAAAGTGCGAGTTAGCAAATATAAAAATATTTTCGAAAAAGGTTATACTCCTAATTGGACTACTGAAATATTTACAATTGATAAAGTGGAATCAACTCAACCTGTGACTTACAAACTCAAGGATTACCAAGATCAACCCATCAGTGGAGGATTCTATGAAGAGGAGCTTCTAAAAGTGAAATATTCAGACATTTATCTTGTTGAGAAAATTCTCAGGACACGTGGAAACAAAGTTCTTGTCAAGTGGCTTGGTTTCGATAACTCTCACAACACTTGGGAAGACAAAGCAAATGTATAATTTATAGTTAATGTTAAATCAATGTTAAATCAATGTTGAATCAATGTTAAATCAATGTTGAATCAATGTTGAATCAATGTTAAATCAATGTTGAATCAATGTTAAATCAATGTTGAATCAATGTTAAATCAATGTTAAATCAATGTTAAATCAATGTTGAATCAATGTTAAATCAATGTTAAATCAATGTTGAATCAATGTTGAATCAATGTCAAATCAATGTTAAATCAATGTTGAATCAATGTTAAATCAATGTTAAATCAATGTTGAATCAATGTTGAATCAATGTTGAATCAATGTTATAATGTATATAGGTAAGGAATTTTTAAATAAAAAACACATGAAATTAAAATACAATTGTTCTATTTATTTATTTTATCACAGCCTTTACATTTCCCGACATTTTTTCTCGAACTTATCAACTATTTACAAATCGTCGAGATTTGGGATCGCATAGTGACCCCACGGTAGAGTATCGGTACTCCCCGGTAACAAATACCGTTTATCGTCTTGTGGAGATAAGGCTACTTTCAACTGTTTAACAGTTTCAACATTGTGTAGCCGCGATCTTATATTATACTGTGTGCGAGTTTGAATATCAAAATCTCTTAGACATTTTACATAATCATCAAATTGAATGGTCTTTTTAACAACGCCGGCTTTAACACCTTTAGCTTTTTTAATAAAATCTTTATCTTCGACCCGTACACTGTACATCTTACTCCGCAAGCCAACAAATTCAGTTACAATTCTGCCGTTGCACTCATCTTTCATGAGGCCGAGGACTTTTTTGTTGACTTGCGGAATATCATAGACGTTATTCGCGGGATAATCAGATGTATCAAACTTGTCAATATCTTTTTTCATGTCTTTGTAAATATCTTCACACTTGATTTCGTAGATAAGACTGTCTGTATCGGTATACAGCAGTTTACAAGCATCGCCGTATTTTTTCAACATGTGACCATAATGGAAATCGTAAATTAGCGTCTTAGATATATCAAGCACACTTAACCCTACATAGATTGGTTTGTTGAGTAGTACCTCGACTTTGCGCAATTCAATAGCAACCAGATCTTCGTCGAAAATTGCTCGACTTTTGAAATTTGGGCGGGAGATTAGAGCTTCAGCTCCATAGCGGCCAAACCATTTTGTGACGAGTTTAATGTCAACATGTTTGCGGACATTTTCCATCGTCTTGCCGTACACCGCATTGTTCATAAGCTTAAACAAATTCTTTTCGAACTCATTTTTAGCATTGGTTCGCATCATTGTGTTATAGTCGATGTATGGTTTAAGCCAGGTTGATTGCTTAAACTGTAAGACACGGTGGATTTTCACAATTTTAATATCGTTTGCCACAACTTGTTTTAGCGTTCGATAATGAATAACATATTTTTCTTTAGGCATGAGAGTGGTTAACAATTTCTCCTGTTTTGACAATGGAGGTTTCTTATTTTCAGCGCAGAATGGCATGTCTTTATGAGTATCATGAATGTCTTTCGGATACTCCAAATCAACTTCTAGGATGTACCCAACAGGGGAATCGTCAGGTACATGAAAATTAAAAGAGTCGTCAACATTTTCAACCCATTTGAAACCACCATAAGGGAGCGATTGAGCCATTGCCCAGCCATACAAATTGTTGGCATCGAAGTACATGAGATAGCTTGTATCTTCGTTTTCGTCGAAATTCTCCATATATGGATTATTCGCTTTTGCATAGCGGTTACAACATTGACTAATGCCACCTCTGATACCCGACTCAACAAACATAATCATATCAATATCGGTTATAAGTTGTAATCCTATACTCGTGTACTTGAGCATAGCATCCCAAGTTAAACCTGGAGTCGTATAATAGTGTGCAGGATCTAACTTGTACGCAATAACACATTGTTCGCGGAAGTTTTCAAAGACATCGGCAAGTAACAATACATCTGTTTTCATGTACAAGTGGACATAGTCGTAGAGATTTTGACAATCAAATTCGGACCAAACTTTCTGCGCATGCTCATAATCTTCATCAGAAATACCGGCATCATAAAGAGTACTGTAAAATTTCTCTTTCGGGGGCAATTCTGTCTCATCAAGCTTACTTTTTGAGTCAAAGTACTCATAGGGGAAAACACCCTTTCGCGTTAATAACTTAATTTTATCCGGATCAGTCACCGTACTGGCAAAAACGGCGTTTACAATTTTATACTCATCCAAGTAGGATGCGAGTTTTTCTAGGGATGCTGCCATGAATCTGAAAGAGTCAATGAATCGAAACTTGACCTCACTCCCCTTAACATGTTTTGTGAAGGCGATATACTTCTCCTTGTTAATGGGTAGGAGGTCAATTTTCCCATCAAAGCTCGTAGAAATTGCGTGAATTATAAAATGGGCGTCATAGCCACTTAGGTTATGGAAAACTACAGGGATCGTTTGACAATCTTGATAATTCAGATTGCATGATTCATGGGCAGCACCCCTATACTTGCCAGTAAGATGACAATGATCTCGGACTTTTTTATCGCTTGCCGCTATTTTCTGATGACAAATATGGCATATTGTCGCTCGCTTAAAATCGCTGATTTCTTGAGGAGTTAATGCAGTCATTGGTAATGGATTTTTAAAGACATTATCAATTTTTTCAGATAATTGCCTTAATTCCTCAGAAAACCATTTGGCAGGGTCGGATTCATGCTTCGGACAAGGTACATATTTACATAATGATTCGTCGTAACTACATTTTATAAAATAGCCTATGCTTAACAATTTATGTCGCTGGAACACTTCAGTCTTACTTAAATTATCTACATCTTCATCGGCGGGAAGAAGTAGACTTTCACAGTCGGCGTAAATTACATATGGTACCTTTTCTTTATTTTTATAATTTTTAAATGTGATTAAACTCTTATCAGGCTTTGGTAATTTAATTTTACACTCATTCATTTTTTTACAATTTTCGAGATGTTCATTCAGTCTATCTACGGAAAAAAAATAATGTAAGCATCTGTCACATATATGTTTTTTACCATTTTTAGCAGACAATTGTTTCGATACAAGGCGTGATAAGTCTTTTATCCATACATAATGGAAATTCAAAAAATCACCGCCATCACATATTACATTCTCTTCAACACTCTCATCCGCATACGTATCCGCAACGTACAAGAGATTTACATGTTTATCCCTTTTTTCCGCAGTGAGGTGAAGAGGATGCACTGAAAAGTTACCATAACTTTTTAATAAACCGTAAACATTAATCGAAATATTATTCTGCTTTTCAAATTTTGGGACATTTTTTAACGTTACTGGGAATTCCATTCCCTCAAAATTTAACTCATCTTCAAAACTTTTCAAACTGGAAACTCGTTCAGGATGTGATACATTTGGATGCAAAGCTGACAATACTACCCATTTAAAACATTGTTTGTCTTTGTTTTCAACATTAATGCATGCATTCTTGTTTTTAATTTGCGCAGGTAAACGAATATAAGAGCTTGCACGCATCGGATTATACTTATTAACATTGATTTCGAGCCTTATAATCGACTGCAGGCTCCAATTTGAACCCTTTTCATAAAACTCTTCGACACTGCGCAGTATTGGTTGCTTTATGTTCTCATCGAACCAATCATCTAAAACCGAGGTGGGGAAGATGCTGTTAGCCTTGCATCCGAAAGGGATAGGCTTAACAACCTCCTCACCATTCTCAACCCTCTTAAAGTTGGCGATGAGAACACCATACACTAAAATGGGTCCATTCTTATTTAAGGCACCTTTTATGTGATCTTGAAAAAGCGTGGACGCATCGTCCAAAAACGCGCTAACATCAATGTGGACTAGGTTTAGGACTGCATTGGTGTACAGTCTACACGCAAATGCACTCTCACACTCTTCCCAGCGAACGCGTTTATTAATGTCTGGATCACCGATTCCAGCGCCATCTACAATGTGAGATTCGAACAACGCGCGAAATCTAATGATGGATTGCAGAATGCTCACACATCTCTGCTTTTGATGTGTAAAATACATCGATTTTAGGATGCTAGACAACAAGTTTTCATGTTGTGAGCATTCTACAATCCATCGATCTACAAAAGAACGTCTTACGTTTACGTTATCGATCAGTGGAATCAGTTCTAGTGCTTCCTTGATGAGAGTAACAGTTAAGTCACTCTCATCAAGGATGGTCGTGTAGTTTGGGAACTTACGTGGTCCATCGGTGGTTGTGGCCTTCCGCTTCATGTCTGAACCTGAAATCACACTTACAAGCTAAGAAAACAAAAGAATACACTTACAAGCTAAAAAATCCAAAAGAATACACTTACAAGCTAAAAAAACCAAAAGAACACACTTACAAACTAACAAAACGAAAGAACACACTTACAAACTAAAGTATTTAACCTAAAGATCAAAACAATGTAAATGTAATAAATACGGTAAATATAACAAAAAAAGACAGTAAATATATTCAAAATGTGAAAAGACAGTTAGTAATAGCCAAGGAGACTGCTGCTGCTACTGCTGAACCTGTGAACAGAACAGCCACTGACTGAAACTGATAAGAGATTCTCAATATATACCCCAGAATCCCCACTCTTACCTTTCGCGCATGCGCACTAGAACTTTTACCCCCACTCCTACTTTTTACACATCCCCACTCTTACATTTACACCCACCCATTTCGCATGCGTAAAATAAATATATACCGATATACAAAATACAAACGTTTATTAAAAAATTAAAAATTAATAAAGACATTAATATTAATGGCGGCTTGACGGTGACGACGCCTTTGTCGCCGCCTCCTCTCTGGGCCGGGAGGTGGTGTCGGTGGCCTCGGTGGTGGGGGTGTCGGCGCCCTGACCTCTACCCCTGGAGGTGTCGGCGCCCTAGCCTCTACCGCTGGAGGTGTCAGCACCTTGACCTCTACCCCTGGAGGTGTCGGCGCCCTAGCCTCTACCGCTGGAGGTGTCAGCACCCTGGCCTCCATTCTTCATGGAGACTCTGGAGATGATGGTGACTCCAGCTCCACCCAGGGTGGTGATGTATCCGGAAACTGACACGGATACTGCTCCCTGGGTGGAGATCCCGGGGGTGTTGTCGGGAATGGCACCTCGTTCCCTTCATTCTGCAACTGAAAAAAATATTAAACATTATATTACATTTTACTATATTATATATATATATATCATTGATACTTACATTGTGTATTGACACCTTCTTAACGAAGCAGTTGTAGCAGTTGCAGAAATTCTCCATGTCGACCACTCTGAGTCGCTCCGTCACTGCGAATGAGCTACTGCCGCTGAGCTCATAGACATAAAGTGTCATACTCCCACCACGCGCTCGCCCCACCACGCGCTCTCATCACCTTGTGTGAGCGGCAGCTGAGTGAAGCTCCTACGGTTCAAATGTGCAGTCGGTAACGCGCGAAATTTAATTTGAAAGAAGAATTTCATATTGTTTTACTATCATAATTAAAGATAACAATGGAATAAATAAATGGAAAAAGTAAAAAAAGAAGATTAATTCAACTTACCTCAATAAATCAATAATCAAATACTAATCTTATTATGCAAAAATAAATTTAAGAATAAATCAAACATTATAAATAACTTAAAAATTAATTTAAATGTTTATGTTATATTGAAATACTACATTTCCATTCTCTTAATTAATTCAATAAACACTATAAAGATATCATTAATTTATAATAATGCTTATTTTATTTCTTCATTTTTTTTTATTTACATATGTGAATGATTATAAAATTATGTAATACTTTTTTCATGTAACATATAAAAGTAAAAAATAATATAAAATGTTTATAAAAACATAACAAAAAATTTTTTTTATAGGAAAAAAACATTTAAAAAACCTATTATGTTCTGAGAGCAATTTATAAATACTTTAAAACTAATAAAAACAAAAACAATTTTTTTTATTTAGGAAAAAACATTTGAAAAACCTATTGAAATTATAAATAATTTAATTTTTTAAAGAATTAAAAGCTAAAGAGATTTTGTATAGAAAAACACTTTAAAAGAAATAAAAACAAAAAAAATACTTTTTTTTATTTGGGAAAAAAACCATTGAAAAACCTATTAAAATAATAAATAATTTAATTCTTAAAAAGAAAATGAAAAGCTAATATAGAAGAAAAACATAAAAATTAAAAAAATATAGAAAAAATAACACTTTAAAAGAAATAAAAACAAAAAACTTTTTTTTATCAAGGAAAAAAACAATTGAAAAACCTATTAAAATAATAAATAATTTAATTCTTAAAAAGAAAATGAAAAGCTAATATAGAAGAAAAACATAAAAATTAAAAAAATATAGAAAAAATAACACTTTAAAAGAAATAAAAACAAAAAACTTTTTTTTATCAAGGAAAAAAACAATTGAAAAACCTATTCAAATAATAAATAATTTAATTCTTAAAAAGAAAATGAAAAGCTAATATAGAAGAAAAACATAAAAATTAAAAAAATATAGAAAAAATAACACTTTAAAAGAAATAAAAACAAAAAACTTTTTTTTATCAAGGAAAAAAACAATTGAAAAACCTATTAAAATAATAAATAATTTAATTCTTAAAAAGAAAATGAAAAGCTAATATAGAAGAAAAACATAAAAATTAAAAAAATATAGAAAAAATAACACTTTAAAAGAAATAAAAACAAAAAACTTTTTTTTATCAAGGAAAAAAACAATTGAAAAACCTATTCAAATCATAAATAATTTTAAAAAAATGGAAAACTAAAAAATAAACATTTTTTTATAGAAAAAAAAACATAATTGAAAAAACCGATTAAATTGCTCTTTAAATTTGAATTAGAATTAGTATAAATATTCAATATTTTAGAAGAAACAAAACTAAAAACTATTAAAAGTAAACTGAAAAAATTATTAAAAAAAAAAAAGAATCAGAATGTAATAAAAAATGGAAGGAAAAAAATGTCATGCGATATAAATTAAAAAACTAGTGTTTCTTCCTTGAGGATGCTGTTGCCATCTTTTTCATTGCTTTTGAAAGCCTTTGTCGAGATGTTCCACGAAGATTGCGTGGAGGAATCACAATAGCACGTCTTGGCGCTGGAATCGGTGCTGATGCTTGCTGTACAGCTTCTCTTTGTACCAGCACAGGTAGCTGAGCTGATGCTCGTGGTGCTGGAATTGGCGCTGGTGCTCTTGGTACATGAGCAATTCGCTGAATTGCTCGTGGTGCTGGAATCGGAGCTGGTGCTCTTGGTACATGAGCAATTCGCTGAATTGCTCGTGGTGCTGGAATCGGAGCTGGTGCTCTTGGTACATGAGCAATTCGCTGAATTGCTCGTGGTGCTGGAATCGGAGCTGGTGCTCTTGGTACATGAGCAATTCGCTGAATTGCTCGTGGTGCTGGAATCGGAGCTGGTGCTCTTGGTGCCGGCATATGTTCCACAGCGCGTTGCCTAAGCACTTCTTGACCTTGATCAAGAGGTATCTGAGTCGGTGTTGGTGGAATTGCCAATCAAGGGCGAGTCATAATTCGGATCCATGGTTGTGGATTTTCATTTTCATCAGATTGTAGATCTAGTAAATTGTTTGGTCGCTCATCCCACCGATTTCTTCTCGGACCAAACAATTCCGGTTCTTCTGGATTATACGGAATATTTTCCATGGCATCAAGTTGTGCGTTCAAATTGTTCTAAAAACAAGTATTTAAAATAATGAAACACTAGTTAGAAAATTTATAAAACTAAATCATTTATTTGCTAAGGTTATATCATGATAATAATGTAAAAAGTAATTTAAAAGAGAGTATTGAAAGACTAAATTGATTGTTGTAAAAATTTTTCTTTGACAGGTTAGGTTATAAATATTATAGAAAAATAGTGAATACTAAACGTGCAAATTGATTAAGACTATTCATATTTTTTGAAAAGTTATAAAGTATAAAAAGAAAACTAATAGATAAAATTGATTAGACTAAAAGAACTGTGAAAGAAAGTTAAATTATTGATTGAGAAAATTGATTAGACTAAACATATTTTTGACGGGTTAGGTTTTAATATTGTAGAAAAATAGTCAATACTAAACATATTTTTTTGACAGGTTATAAAAAGAAAACTAATAGATAAAATTGATCTCAGTAAGAAAATCTCTTTGACACGTTAGGATATAAATATTTTAGAAAAATAGTGAATACTAAATGATTAAATTGATAAAGATTAAAATTTATTTAACACTTACAACTCTTGGCAGCATGCGCTGAAATCTGCAATTTTGTACATTACAATTGCTGCACACTTCACGAGCAACACAATCAGACACATTTAAATAATTTTCACAGTTTTTTATTATTCGATCAGTGATTTTTTTTATCAGTGATAAAATTTTCAAGATTTGTATAATACGCTATATTGTTCATAATAACTTTCTAAATTTATAAAAATAGGAGGTCTAGAATATTGAGCATAATAAAAGTTAAAAATTCGCGCCATACACTAAAGTAGTATAAAGATCAGGAAATTACAAAAATAAAATTCTGAAATAAAATCAAATATATATATAATGAGCATATATATTATAGATTATTTATTAATTATTATGAATTTATTCTAAAAGTATATAATATACATTGCATTTTATTAAATTTCTACAATAAACCATCAATAAATTTTTCCTAATGGAATTGACCAATGAGAACGTTTCATTCTTAAAGGCCGGTAAATTCGATATGAGAATATCGAAATCAGTATGAAATTTGATTGCAATTTAAAAACGTTTTGTAATAATAATAAAATCAATTAATGTTTTAATAAATTAGTTGTAAATATTACTTACCTATATTATGAAAATTTTAAAAAAAAACGTAATATATAATTAAATCTATTGAAACTTAATAAAATTTCAAGCAATTCTTAAATTCGGAGGTAAAACAGCTAGACAAAAACTTACCTTAAACAATACATATGAAGTAGGACCACCTAGTTTTGACACTAGGCCGGTAAAATACATTGAGTAACAAAGTAATCTTATTTGTTAAAATTCTATAAGTTTAAAAAATTAGTGACGTCATCTAATGTAAATATATAACCAATACTCTATCGCTAAAACAGGGATGGGTAGCTCTGTGACCAAAACAATTTAAATTGTCGAATAAATTTTTAAGTTTCCCGCCAAGCAGGTTTGAATTCGCTAGTGGCGCCATCTATTGGTGTCAACCGCAACTAATTCCGTCGGTAAAACAAAATGGCGGCCAAGCCAATTTAAATTGTGAATTAAATTTTCAAATTTCCCGCCAAGCAGGTTTGAATTCGCTAGTGGCGCCATCTATTGGGTGGCTAGTTAACTAATTCGGTCGGTAAAACAGATTCCTACTTTACCAACTGGGTTTGAATTCGACCAGCTGCTGATAATGTAGAAATCTACCTTACCGACTGAGCAGTTACCGACTGTAGGTAACTTAGCCGAGATCAGAACCTGGGGTGGAACTCTCCTAGCTATACTACTTCTATAAAATGATGTCTCAGATAATAGTGAATGAAAATGTGTTTGTGTATTCAACAAAGACAAAACTCTTGGAATTTGATAATAGTATTAATATCATTAGGAATGTTCAATGTGTAATTCAAGAGAGAAGAAAAAAAATGTTTCAATTGACTAAAAAAAATGGATTTATAATAATCGCTGACAACTTCTATCCGTACATCATTGGTTGATAAAAAGCACTGATAGCGTGTGATAATTCTTCGTATATACACTTTCCTATAATAAAATGTAATCCATATATACATATTAGTGTATCTGTGTCTGCTATTAACAATGGAATTATTCTAGTGAGTTCAAGTATATATATATATACAACGAATGGAAATTATTATATATGGAAATATAATATGGAAATTTACAAGAAAATGATAAATTGAGGAAAAAAATTTTATCAAAAAAAAAAAATAATAACAAAAGAACGAAGGTAATAATTATTATTAATAAATAAAATAGTAAAAAATTTTACCGAGAGAAAAAAAGAAATGAAAATACGTGGCACACATTAATAATTAGAAAAATTAAAAATATAATTAAACTTTAGTGGTTTATTATTATTTTTAAGATGGACTCAGTTGCTGTTACGGTGCCACTTCGTCCTCCAATGAAAAAAATGAAAAAACGAAAAGAACTTGACGCCCTCGCACCCCATCATGCAGTTTCTAGAAGATGTAATGGAAAACGCAGTTCTCAGGTATTATATCAAACGGAGACATTTTTCCTCGCATTATTTTTAGATTTTTTTTTTTAAATAATTCCATTTCCTTGTAGCAATCGCTTTTTCAATTGTTTTCTATCCTTTTTTTAAAAAAATATTTTAAATAATATTATTTTCTTTTTATTTTAATATTTTTTCAATTCTCATAAATTTCCTGTTCCATTTTTTTGTAAATTAAAAATTAATTTTTTTTTATGCTAAGATTTGTGTAACTTCATATAGATAAACGAGAAAAATAAACATGGTGACTGTTGCAGTAGATAATAATAAGTTGATAAGAAAATTGGAAAAAAAAATTTTACACTTTAGTGTCACATTGAAATTTTTTTTTTTGCTAAAATTTTTATTTCTGATTAATTAATTAAAATTGTTGATACTTGATTGTAATTTAATAAAATCAGGCTACTATTTTGTATATGGGAAACATTATTAATTTATAATAATTTACAAAAAAATTTAGTTCAATTTTACATAGGGTCAGTTGGGGTAAATCCGAACGGGGGGTAAATCCGAACGCTAATTATTTCAGCTTAATTAAAATTTTTAAAAATAAGTTCGATATGAGAATTTTTACCTCAGATCCTCTTGAAGAGATTCTAAGTATTATCCCATTTTTCGTTTGTTAATTAGCAACAGCATAAACAAAGATAACGAGTATTGCAAAAAAGATTGAAAATCAAAGATGACACTCTTTCAGTATTTTGTCTCGTATTTGAAGAAAAAGAAGCTAAAAATTCATTTTATTATTTATAATTGTTTGTTATGAATACTAGAACAGAAACTATATTTGATTTTTGCCTTCTGTCAAATTTTATTAATAATATCAGACCGTTCGTATTTACCCAAGAAAATTGGAAAACTGGGGTAAATCCGAACGGTATTTTTAATAATTTTTTTTTACATCAAAGCCACACAAAATTATTTTTATTTGATTACACTATTATTTTAACATTATAAAAGTACATAGAAAAAAGTTTTTCTTTCTATACGTATCCTCGTTAGTAATTAATAAGCAGAAACTTAATCTCTGTTCTCTCGAAGGAGTGTTTCAATTTTTTTGCCAAATGGTTTGTTGAAAAAAGTTTTTCAGGATCTTAATAAAATTTGGTATTCTACGGTTTTTGGGGTCGCTAATTACCAATTTGAAGTCAGTTTTTCAAAATTCAAAATGGCGGACGAGAATTAAAAAATTCATTGGATTCGCTTGAAAATTGTTACTCGGGGGGTTTCAGGGTTAGCAAATTTGATCATTTTTAAAAATAAGTTTTAGGAAAGTACGCCATTTTGAATTTAAAAAATTTGACTTTTATTTTTGTATTTACATTCAATCACTCCAAAATACTTTCTGTACCAAGTTTTGCAAAAATCCGTTATGATTTGATAAAGTTATTGAAGGTTTTAATTGTGTAATGCATTTTAATTTTTAACCTGTTTGATTTTTGTATTTATATATGATGCATTATTACATAATAGGTTTATTATCGTATTTTTTTTGAGTTTTTATATAAGTTTAACAATTGCAATACTTTAAATTTATTTTCCCTAAGATTTTTCTGAAATACAGTGGCGTTCGTATTTACCCCCATATTTTAGGAAAGTTGCAAAGTATCGAGGTAAATACGAACGCTAAGTTTCCTGCGATTGTAATTTATCAAAAATTTTTTCTACCCCATAAAATTGTTCTATGGAAGTAAAGTAACAACTTCATGCACCAGAATACCGGAAGTATTTTTTTTTTAAAGAAAAAACTTATGTTATTGTTGAAACTTACTAAAAGCGTTCGGATTTACCCCAGTTGACCCTAATCGTGTATTTTTAAATAAATAATTTTTCTGTAAAAGTGTAAGGAATTTTATTTATAATATTTTCAATAATTAAAAATTGTATTTGGATAAATATTAAAAATTACTTACTATGAGGAAACAGTTGTTAAAATTTTAAACTATTTTTTATTTATTATTTTTATTATCAACAATTTTTATGGCTTTTCAAAAATTTTTAATTTTAAATTATGTAACATTTGTTTTTTTTTTTTTTTAAATTGTCATTTTTATTAAAATTGTTTAATTGTTCAAAATGTTAAAAAGTAAATTGTTTACACTTTAACTGATAAATTTTTAAAGTACAAACATAAAATCATAAAAATTATTTTTTGAGGCTCCGAAATTTCAATTTGATATAATTTTTATATTTTTAATAATTATTTAATTAAAATCTTAATTCATCGATTTTTTTAATTATCCTAATAAAAAATGTATAATTAAAACCAAATTATTATTATTATTATTTATATAAATACAAGTTTATAGTAATTTTTGAATATTATTAAAGAAAAATTCAGATTTACAGTCAAAAATCAAAAATTTTAGCGAAACTCAATAATTTTTGTATTTTTAAATTATAAAAAGCAATTCAATTATTTTGAAAAAAGTGTTTCAGGTAAATATAAACAATTTCATTTTTACCATTTTAAACCATTAAAATTTGTCATTTGATAAAAATTAAAAATTTCTGAGTTTAAAACAATTTTAAAATTTCGTTTTACGTTATATCGCATATTGTTTATATTTTAAACTCAAAAATTTTTAATCTTTATTCAATAAGAAAAATTTTAATCGCCTGAAGTAGCAAAAATAAAATTTTCCATTTTTTTCACTGAAACACAATTTATAATTATAAATATAGTTGTATATTCTATTTAAAAATACCAAAATATGGATTTGGATAAACTTTTGTTCCAATTCTATATCCACAATTCTTTTTGCTTATTTATTATAATAATAAGTGTTGGTTTTTTTTTAACTTTTAAGTAAGCAACATTTCTATTATTTACAGTGAAAACAAAATTTATTTGATTCAAAATAAATAATTGGTTACTTGACTATTATGAAATAAATATTTATTCAATAATTATTACTTAATTGAGCGAATTAATTAAATCTAAAAACAATCTATTTTTAAAAGAAAGAAAAAAAATTGCCATTTTGTTTTTCCTTCCAGACATCGAAATATTTAATCGTAAAATATCTCATTCTTTATTCGGATAATTAAAAAATCGATGGAATAGAAATTCCATTTTAAAAAATAAATTAGATTAAATAATTATTAGAAATACAAAAATTATATCGAAAAAAAAATGTAATAAACAGTTTTTTGTAAATTTTAATTAAATATAGTCTTAAATTATAAAACAAAAAACAAATATCTATATCATAGAAGCAATCATCCGGCTAATTATAATTATTTTATTTTTATATTTTTGATTATTTTCTATTTATTTATTTATAATGTAAACGGGCCAGCACAAAAGATTGTTATTATTATTTTCAATATCCTAAAGTAAGAAATGAAAGTTACATTTAATTTACTTAAAAGCAGAAACGAAATTTATTACTTTTTTTCCCTTTCTTTTTTTTTTTTTGTGATAAAAATATAGTAATCCTAGAAGATAAAAATGTATTTTATATGAAAGAAAACGGAAAATGTGATTAATGATCGTCTCCCTATATATCCTAATCCTCTATCATTATTTCTCCCATGCGTATAGGAATTGCTATCAGACAGCAGTGACGAATGCTCTGAATTTTGGAATGTTTCGACACGTGGCCCTCGTAAATCGAGAAACAGAAGTAGTCAATCATGTCCTGGACTTTTAAGAGCTTGTAGTGCTTTTTTGGCCTGCGCCGCAGTCCTTGCCACAGCTAGTTTAATCTGGCTTTTTATTGATGTTCGCCAACAACTCACAACCCTTCGAAGTGAATTAGATCAAGGTATAAAAATTCCAAACAACCTTGAGATATCTCGTCAGCACAATACATATTTTTTTTTTTTTTTGCAATTATAATAATAATACAATATTTATATATTTATAATATTGTAAAAATATTCGACGTGGAAATAATCAATTATGATATAATATACTATCAAAAGTTGACTTATTTGTACGCGCACAGAAATAAAGAAATTCTATAATAAAATTTGTTCTACTCTTTTTATTGTTAGTGAAAAAGAAAATAAATTTTTTTTTTCTAAAAATTTCTAAATTAATTGAGAATTTCTGTTTTTTTTCTTTTTTCTAGTGATAGCAGGAAGTGAGGGCCTTCCAGACGCTATACAAAAATGTGATTCCACTTCCAAACAATTGCAAAAAAACCAAAGTATCATATTTACTCAACTTTCCAACATTAAAATACAGCTCAATAATTTTACAGAGCAGGTATGATAATAATTAATGTTATGTTTTATATTTTGTTTCGATTTCGAAAATTAACAATTTTTAACAATTTTTTTTTCAAGGCAATTAAAAGTAGAAATTTTTTTTTTTTATGTAATAAGTAACAAATTGAAAAAAAAATTTATATTGCAAAAATGTTACACTAAAATTACAATTAGATATAAAATTTTAACATTTCGTAATGAATATTTTATAAATTAAAAATTAATACAAAAGCCATGCTTGACGGTTATATAAATAATAAATTTATGTGATTTTACACTGTAAATTGGAAATTGAATTTTTTTTAATTAATTGTGTTTCTAAAATGCAAAAAAAAAATTGCAATTTTATATATATAATTTTTTTTTTTTTGCAGATAACTGCCATTCAACGAGGTTTACAAATAGTGCAAGATTCCTTAAAAGCAGAACCTCAATTAGCGAGCATACCAAAAGATTTTATGTCTCTGCAAACTAGTGTGGCCAAAGTTGGTAGTGAGATTAGCGATTTAAAACCTACTGTCGATGCCTTAAAAGAAGCAAACAAAAATTTGTTAATTACACAAAATATAACGCAACAGAAATTAAGTAGCCTTCAGGTATTGTAAATTTACAATATTTATTATAATACTTTTGCAGGCAAATTAATTAAATTCAAGTCAATTTCTCTAAAAATAATTAATAAATTGTATTATTTTGTAATTATTATTATTATATTATTATTTGATTATAATTATTTTATTACTTTTATTTTCTATTTATTTAATTTGAAATAATATAATAAGAATATTTTTCTATTACTAATATAATTTTTTATTTTTATTAAATTTTTAAAAAACCGTTGTTTCATATTAATTTTATTTATACAAATTGTTGCAGACTTCATTGCAGGAGTTAATGAATGCAACGCAAAAGCCGCAGTTGCAATCAACAAATGAAACGAATATTAAAATTGAAGATTTGAAATCAACTGTTTCCGAATTAGCGAAAAATTTATCAATTGTAAATCAAAATATAACAGCGCGACTCAATTGGGCACGTGATGAACAAGCAAAGGACCATGTAAGATATTAAGTTTCTATATATAAAAGAAAAATATTTTAAAAAAGCAAAAAAATAAAAAGTTATTTAATTTTAAACATTTTTTTGTTTTCAGAGTAATTTAGACAAGTTGCAAGACAAGGCAGAAAATTTAAGGACAGAAGTTGAAACATTACGTGTTGATTCTGTTACTATTCATCAACAGGTAATCAATTTAATTTAATTTATTTTATTTTTGATAGACTTGTAAATTTACATTTTAAAAAATATATATATTTGAGAAAATTTGAGAAAATTCTAACAAATTTCATTTAGCAAATTATTTTCAAATTTTTTTCATTGTAATGAAAAAAAACATGTATCAAAAGTGCACTGTTCGTGTAAACATTAATTTTCAAAAATTAACAAATCAAATAATTTAAATCAAATTACGAAAAAGTAAAAATTATAATATTTTTTTTTAATGTAGAATGCAAAAAAAAAAAAAAAAAAAAATGTTGCAATCGAATCTAAATTTTGAATAAAAATAATCCAAAGAATTACCCATAAATTATTTTATTGTTAATTCAATTATATGAAGTTTGAGATTAAACGTGTGACTTTCTACTTCTTTTTTTTTTTATTAGTTTCTTTGATTTGATTTTTTAAATAATTTAATTTTTTAAAATTACCTTTTTCTGTAAGTTTAAAATTCAAATTGAATTGTTAAAGGAGTGAATTTTTTAAACTTCTTAATGAATTAATTAATTAAAAAAAATTTTGTTTTTAACTTGGAAAGAATTTGGAAAGAAAATGATAAAATTTTTAAAGAGGTTGTTTTTAATTTGAAAAATTAATAATAAATAATAATTTATTTTAATTTTTCAATTAAGTATTTTTAATTATAATTAAAATTTTTTGTATTATTTAATGGTAAATTATTATCATAAAGTGATGATATTTTTAACAATTTTCAGAATTTATTTGATTTATTTTTTTTTAAAGAATTTTTTTCAAAACCAAAAAAAGCCGTGAAGTAAACTTGAATTTAAAAAAAAAAAATGCACAATTTTTCAACGATATAGAAAAATTTATAATTTTTTTTATTGCTACTTTTTTATATTCTTTTTGTACATTAAATAAAAAATGAAATAAAAATATTCAGAAAATAGTTTAGACATTAATAAAATTTATCTTATTTTTTTTAGATAAACGCAATTCAATCAAGAAACTCAGAATATAATAAAACATTAGTTGAATTGAAAGAAACTTGTAATGCTTTACAAAAGTCACAAACTTCAGTAATGGCGCAAACAACTTCCACAATCAACAATCCTCCAAAAGAAACTTTAACAAAGCAAAGTGAGATGAAAGAAATTGTCACTGCAGCTGCAGATCAGAAAAATACAGGTTTGATAAATTTCAGCTTTTTATTTTATTGGGAATTTTTTTTTTTTTTTTTTTTGTAATATTCCATTAACAGACTTTTTTTTAATAATAAAAACTTTTTTTTTCATTTTTAGCAGACGAGAAAACAATGATGAAACAAAATAATATGTAAGCGGATAATATTTATATGCGCGCGCAAAAAAAAGTATTAGAGTTTGTAAATATTAGTGTACTTAATAATTATGGTTTTAGAAAAATGCGTTACCTTATTTTTAAAAAAAAAGTCATAAATAATTTAAAACATTTTTACGTTAAAAAAAAAAGAAAATCATTCTTAGTTTACACTTAGAAAAGTGTGAGACCACTTTTGTAAAATATTCCATTTTGTCTATTAAATAATTGTATGTGTGTGTTTCTTTTTATTTTTTTTTATAAATTAAAAGTTATCACAGTATTTCTAATGAAATTTTTTTTTTTTATTCTAGAAATTTCTTTTTTATTCAATTTTTTTTTTAAATAATACCTTTGAAATAATTGTCAATTTAAAATCTTGATAAAAATGGAGCACGTCAATAAATTAAAAATATTTAGACATAGGAAATTTTTATTAATTTAGATTTTTTTTAAACTATTGTATTTAGAAAAAAAATATTTCCAATTTATTTCATAGTTACGAATTTTTTTGTTCTTTTGCATTTTTTAGTTTGTTGAATTGTAATTAATATTTATTTATTGCGCAAATATGCATATATATAATTTAAAAATGTAACAAATATTATAGAAAAAAAAGATCTACTTTCAATTTATTTTTCACTAAAAAGTGATTATAATTTTTTAAAGTCTTTGAAAAAAAAAAAATTTATTAAAATATATCTAATATTTTTTTCGAATATATTCAACGATTCTCTCAAATTGTCAGATCATCGAAAAAGTACGAAATGTTTTAAATAGAAAGTTATTTATTATTCATATAAATGTTTAAGAATGAAAGAGATTCTTATTTTTTATTATTTTTAAAAAGCGTAATACAAATATGAAAACCTTTAACTTATCATCGGACATAAATAATATATATTAAATTATTTTTCTCATGGGAAAAAAAATCTACCTGAAACAGCTAAAGATTTCACTAGAATAATGAAAGATTTAAATAAAAAATAAGTGTAAATTTTAATAATGTTGATGAAATAACTAGTCAAAGGACTTGAAAGTGTTTCATAAACATTATTAAAAAAAAAACGGTTCTAAAAATTTTAACCAAACTTTTGTTATTCTAATGAAATCTTTCGCTGTTCCAGGTAAATTTTTTTTCCGTTCTTTATAAATATTTAAATTGATTGAAAGTCGAAATAATTTATATGATATTGAAAAAATTGAATATGATTAATATTTAATCAGAATTAAAAGAAAAAGAAGAAGAAGAAGAAGAATAAGAAGAAAAATGAATAGTTTTTAATTTAGTGAGTTCTATTTTTGAACTCGTTATCTGTGATGGTGACTGTTTTATTTGTCAAATTAAAAATTTCCAGAATATTTTGATAATTAGATAATAATTATTGCACAATATTATTGGAAAAAAAAATTAATTATTTAAATTTATCGAATTATTTAATGAATTAAAATTAATTGAACGAAGATTTTTTTTTTTTTTTTTAAGAACTCAGACCATTATATTTGGAACAAAATTTTTGCGGTCTAATTTAAAAAAAAAAATTGATATACTTTCCGAAATAATTCTGCTAAAAAATCTACGGAACGAAATAAAAACAATGTTAAAATTTTTATTATTGAACATAATTAAATAATTATAATTAAATAAATTAATTCTAAACAAGAACCAATAATTCTTTTTACATTTTTAAGAATTTATTTATATACGGGCCTTCACAAGAAATTTTTCTTTTTTTTTCTCAAATTCTGAAAGTATCAATTTTTTTTTTTTTTTTTTTTTTTTTTTTTTTTTTTTTTTTTTTTTTTTTTTTTTTTTAATTAGACCGAAAGCGACTTTTGTTCGAAATAATAATGATCTAACACAAAGAGACTTGTTCACGAACACAAGATTTTATTAATTTGTCCAGAATATAATATTAGGAATTCAATGCTCAATGCGATGGTTTAGGGCTGTATGAAAAATTGTCAAAGATTGTATAAAGAAACAGAAATCAAAGCCAAGAGAAATCAGAAAAAAAAGTCGAATGCAGTAATTAAAAGTCATAATAAATATATATATATATATATATTCAAGTATAAGAGATAATTATTATAACTTGTGTCATGTGAATTGTAGAATGAATGAAAAACGTATGTACGATTTGTTAAATAAAAAGAGACTTTAATAAAAAGAAAATAATTCTCGATATATTTTAATTCTTTTTCAAGAAAGTATTTTATTTTAATTTATTTCACACTTTGTTACTTATTTATTATTATTATTATTATTATTATTATTATTATTATTATTATTATTTATTATTTAAATTGTTTTCCATTTGTTAATTTTTTTTGAAATCAAATATTTTCCCTCCCTCAACAATGTCCAATCTGTGATTGGTTGAAGTTCGGACAAATTTTACTGCCACCTGACGGCAAACGCTTCGAATTATTAAAATGAGAATCCATCTATAATAATTTTCATATTTAATGCTCTATTAGTGTATTTTAGTATTTTTTATAAATACCGTCAAAAAATATCTCTATCAAGAAGGTATTTTTAAATAAAATATATTTTTAAAGTGCTTACATTTTACTTTGAATTTTCTATTAGATTAATTTTATTAAAGTACTATTTTTGAATTTACGAATTGTACATTAATTGATGTGTGTTCGTATTACAGTGTGAATTCTCAGTAAACATGTTGTAAACTTACAAGTTTAGTTTTCTGTATTTTGTAACTATTTTTATAGAAAAAAAATGGCATCTGCTCTGTCCGGTAAGTTGAAACTTGAATTAAAAAATAGAATTCCCATGTTTTTTTTTTTTTTCTTTCGAAAATAAATTCTTTTTACAGAAAGAATTTATTTTCATTTGAAATATGTTTCTTTTTTTCTAATATACTGTATTTTTATTGTGGAGTCCTTTTTATTTTCTGTTAATTTTGTTTTGGATTTATGAGAATTTGTCGAAAAAGGAGATTAAAAACTGTATATTTGGAATGTATAAATAAATATTTTCTGATAAAGTAAAAAACATTATTGCAGTTTTTGGATGTTTTTTTTTTCTATTTTTTTGCGAAGAAAAATAAACTGATGAAATTTTTATATTCATTTTAACTACAAGAAATTTACTATTTGTATTTTAATAGTAAATTTTAATAAAATTGTGATTTAAATCAAAGGATCGTTTACATTAAAATAATAAATTAAAGCAAATAATCGTTTACACTATAAATAATGGTTTGGATTGTCTTTAAAAAAGCGAATTTTATTTACGTAGAAGTTTATATATATGTAAATCTTTAAATCTAAATCTCAAAATCTAAATTAGTAAAAATTTTAACTAATTTGAATATTAGTGACTGACTTTACGATGCTTAAAGTCCACAACGTTTATGATCAACGATTAGAAAAAAAATTAGTTTTAAAACGGAAAATTTTACATTTAGGCCTAATTAGGTCCTTTTCATGTATAAATTTTCTTTTCTTATCCTTTTTGTACTTCTAAAAAATGTACAAATTTTCTTACTAAAAAAAATATTTTCTATAATTTTTTTTTATCAATAAACATTGCAAAAAAAAATCTTTGATACGAAAATTCATAGAATTTTTTTATTCAAAAAAATATTTCCAGATCGTTGATCATGAAATGCAAACTTCAGCATCGTTTGACTTTTTTCTATACGAAGGAAAAAAAATAATATATCAAATTTCATAAAAGTATTATTCAATGCTAAAGTACGCAACGTTTATGATAAACGATATTTAAAGAAATCATTTTTTAGAATAAAAAATTTTGTAAATTATTTGTTGTCTGAAATAAATTTCTTGCAATATTTATTAATCAAGAAAATTATAAAATAATATTTTTTAAATAAACTATTTTATAATTTTCCGTGTTAAATAAAAATTAATTAATAAATAAAAAAAAATATATAAATAAAAATTAATTAAAAACTAATCGTTGTTCATAAACGTTGTAGTTTATGAAAAAAAAAAAGTATTTTCAAGTCGTGGAAAATATTTTAAAAAATTTTCAAATAAGAAATTCTAAACTTCAGAAAAATATTTATAAACTCAATGTAGGAGTAAATAAATTTTCGTATCATTTAGTAATTAATCAAATTCGTTTTACCAAATTTTAATATATAACTATTGTAAATTTTATAGAAGTTTTTTAACGATTATTATTTCTTATATGAAAATTTCGCTTCTTTCCATATTTTTCATAATTTGAAAATTACTTTTATAAAGTTGGATATTTATTTTCTTTCACTAATTCATTAGTAAAATTCAACAAATTCATATAGTAAAAAGTCAGTTAAAAAAATCAAATTAGTTAAAATTTTTTACTAATTCAGATTTTCATTACCTAAAATTTACTTTTAGCCGACTATTAATTGCTTCGAAATATTATTTAACCAAAATTTCTATATTACAGAATTATTATTTAAATGAATTTTCATTTTACAGAATTTTTGTTTCATCGAATTTGAATTTTACAGAATTTATTAAATTTTGTTCGAATTTAAATTAGACCAGAATAGTCATTTAAAAGAATTATTATTTTTTATAAAAAAAATTTTTATTTGTTCGAATTTAAATTTTTACAGATTTCTTAAAATGACCAATTTTTATTTTACACTACTTTTATTTGTTCGAATAAATATATAAATGGCAGAAAAATTGAATAGCAAAAATAAAAAAATTAATCAATAATAATTTCATTGATACTTAATTTCTGATTTATTTAAAACTTTGTTGCCTAAATTTTTATACCAGATATTTATTTGAAAAATGAAAATTCTTTCTTCTGTTTTTTTTACCTATAAATTTTTTTTTCAAAAAATGTAGCAAAAAAATTTTTTAAATAAAAAATTATAACAAATCATTGATCATAAACGTTGTGAAATTTACCGACGTAAAATTTGGTTAGAAAAAAATTCTTTCTAAATATTCTATTCATATTCGGTAAAATAAAAATTCTTTCAAATGATTATTATTTTTTTTTCTTGTTTTTTAGCCGAATTTTACAACGATTTAGAATAAAAAATAATTATTGTCTAATTTAAATTTGAATGACACCGAAGTTACCAACGTTGAATCGACGAAAAGAATTTTCTTTTTCCTAAGATTGAATATTTCCCCGCCTTAATTGAGGATTTTTAGTATTTAAAGATGTATTCGGGACCAAAATAAAGAAGTTTCAATTTAAAAAAATTGGTTCTTGGCCTTTAAACTAATCTGAAAGCGAAAAATTCGTTCGTCGATTCGTCGAATCAACGTTGATAACTTCAGCGTCATAAATTTGAGCAAACAATAATTCTGAAAAATCGAAATTCGATGTAATAAAAATTCATTTAAAAATAAATTCTGTCGAATAAAAATTCTAACAAATTAATTTTAGAACTTATCTGTACATCGCAAAATGTAAATCTCTCTTAAAAAATATTCGTTTTAGACAAAAAAAAAAAAATCGGATTTAAAAAAAAAAATGATAATTTTTATCAATTCTTGATTTTAAACTTAAAAATGTATTTTTTTTCCCTAGCTTATTGGGTGCGATTCTTTAAGAACGCCGGCTTTCCACAAGATGTGGCAACAAAGCACGCAGTTGTATTTTCAAATAATCGAATAAAACCAGATATGCTTCCCGATTTGGATAAACCAAGTTTAAAAGAAATGGGCATTACATTAATGGGCGATATGATAGCAATACTTCGCTATGCAAAACGAGTTGTCGAAGAGACAACGTGTGAGAAATTTTTAGTTGACACTGAAGATACACCGGTACCAACAGTGAGAACAATTGTGAAACCTGTGGTAAAAAAAGTTGTCCCTAAAATTGTGCCAAAAAGCACAGTATTAAGTAAAGTAAAACCTGTTGTTACAACAAAAATAAATGCAAATACAATTTCAAATACAATTGTTAAGAAAAAAGTCTTATCAAATATAACAAAACCATCAATAATAAATAGAGATGAAAAAAAGGCAGTAAAGAGAAAAATAGAGAATAAAAAAATTGAAATATTGGACAGTGATTCAGATGATTCAGACGATGATGATGATGTTAATGATAATGATGATTGGAAAATTGAATCACAAAAGAGATTAAAGGCAGTTAAGGATGATGTTGATTATAAGGTGATAATGCCTAAAGGAACGACAGTGAGAAGTCAACAAATTTTAAAAAAAGCTATCGATCAAAAATTAACTGTATTCGATAGATTGGGCGATAGTTCTGTGACAAGTACAACTAATTTAGCTGAATCAACGACAACATTTAATATCACTGGACTTGGTAAAGATGTGATTAAACGAAATTCTAGTGTATTTAATCGACTTGGTGGTAAAGATTTATTGAAGAAAAATGAGATATCAATTTCAAATGCAACAGCGGCAGCGACAACAACAACAGCAACAACAACAACAATAAAAAATGGATCAAGTGTAAAGCCAATGCAAGGTATATTGAAAGCTCGATTGCCTATTAAAACAACTATTATTTCATTGAATAAACAATCGAAGAATATAAAGAAGCCTGGTGGAACAATGAGAGCTGATCGTGAAACTCATATTAAAGCACCATCAAATAGCGTGAAGCAACTTATTAAAAATACTAAGAGTATTACAGTCACACAAAGAAGTCCAATAACTATTAAAAAAATGCCAGCTAACAGTAAATTAGGTAAAACATTTATTTATAATATTACAATTTTTTTTTTTTTTTTTTTTTTTTTTTTTTTTTTTTTTTTGAGTGAAAAGGTAATTTTTCTTTCTACTCATAAGGATCAGTCCACTGACTTTCGTCTAAAAGTAGTAAAAAATTTTATTCCATTTAAAAATATTAATTATCAAAAGTAGGAGGTTCACGATGTGATTTCGTAAACTTAAATTTTTTCACGAAGCTGAAATACGCAACGTTTATGATAAACGATTTTTAAAGAAATAATTTTTTAAAATGAAAAATTCTGTAATTTTTTGCCCAAAAAATATTTCTTGTAGTTTTCATTAATCAACAAATTATAAAAAAATATTTTTTATGCAAAAAATTATAGAATTTTTCATTTTAAAAAATTATTTCTTTAAAAATCGTTTATCATAAACGTTGCGTACTTCAGCTTCGTAATTTATCAATTTTTTTAAAATCGCTATTATAAAAAAAAAATCTATTAAAAATTAGATGTTGGAACTCATCAAAAACATAAATCACTTTATTCTGCACACAGAAACGAAAAAATTAATACAAAAATTTATTATTTTTTGATGATATATGATTTTCAACAAATTTTTCTTGAAAAAAATTTCAAAATTTTTGTTTACTTATACATATAACTTTTTTGTCGATGCACCGAAAAATTTGAGGCTTTTGCACATAGATTTTTTTAATAATGTTCTTTATATAATTTTTTTGACTTATTTTTTAATAAGATGCGACTTTTTCAATGTTTTTATAAATTAAAATTAATTAATTTAAATTAATTTTAAATTTTTACAAAATTTTTAAACAAAATACGTCTATTTTAGTATACAATGCACATCTTCTTCAGGTCTTCTTTATCTAAATTATATAATACATTTTTAACTAAAATTCTTTTCTACACTAATTATTTTCAATAATTTTAATGAAAATCTTCATAAATTCAATTGTCTTAAACCATTTTTTAAGGCCATGTGGGAAATACCCACGTGACCCCCATGCTGGAAACATGGTATCGTATTCTCAAGTTTTCTCTAAAATGATAAAGAATTTTTGGTTGAAATTTGTAAAAGCATTCAGAATGGCGCTGTTCTCGGTTTGAAGTACAATTTTGCGTTTAAGTATTAAAAATAAAAATTTGGAAATTCCCATTTTTGAACGAAAGTTGAAATCAACAGGACGGGGGTACACACAGACGTCGCGTGAATGTATCAGTGGTGCAGGAACTAGCGCCAATTCGAGTTAGTGGCCGCTCAAAGAAATAACAAACACCTATTAACTCCACTATTAATTACATTTTTAAATTATTTCGCATTCAATTACAGTAAATAAGTAGAACGGCCCAATTCCTTCAACCCTTTTTTTATCATTCCTCAAAATTTCAACCCGAAATTTCTTCTCATTTCCGAGAATACTTGGAACTACCAAAAATTGACTTTGTCTCACATGGCCTTAAACTATTTTTTTTAATTAAAAATTTTCTAAAATTTTAAGAAATTTAATAATTTCAACTATAACTTGATTTTTATAAAATTCTTTAAAAATTCAATTATCTAAAAGCATTTTTCAATTAAAAACTTGAAATTCAATATTTTTGTCTATAATTTCTAATATGTGTACGTCCACATGAAAAGGGACCACTTTGTCGATTACAATAAGGATTATTTTTGCGTGAATATTAATGCAAATATCTCCCTTATGAAAGAAACTAAAGTGGTCCCTTTTCATACGGACGTACACATATATTCTTTATCAACAAAAATCACTAAAAATTTCAATTAAAAATCACTTGAAGTTCAATTATTTTCAAAAATCTGAATTGTAAATCTTCGAAAATTCAATTTAAAAACATTTTTTTAAAATGTCTATTTTTTGGGTTTCTGGTATCATATTACCAAGTTTTATTTAAATTCGTTAGCTTACTCTGAATTGTGATTAAAAAAACTTCTGAATTAACTACAATAAAAGAAATATAAAAATTTTATATATAGTCAATTTTCGTAAATATTTGTAGATTTATTCATGCTTAAGGCCAGGTCCAAGTGAGGCAGCGCCATCTACATTAATACTAAAATTTTGGAAAATTTTCAACAGCCTTTTCTTGAAAACAAGATGGTAAAATGCTTTTTCCTTTATGGATAATTGATTATTGGCAAGATATACACCAGCTAAAACTTTTTTTGAGTTAAAATAATAAAAAAAATTTCATGTCAATAAATTAATTATGAGCACTTTTTTCACAAAAACTGTAACAGTACTTTCTCAGAAATTACAATCAAAAATGCAATTTCCATTTGGAAAATTAATAAACACTAAAAAATACACGACCTAAGATTTACCAATCACGAAAATAACAAAAAAAAATTTATTAAATATTTAACATATTGATACTGCTTTACTGATTGTGACAGCCCTTTGGTAGATTATGTATTTCAGGTGGTTAGCAACAGCGCCAATCTCCTCCTTTCGGCAAATCTGCGAAACGTCTGGTGACATATATAACCTGCCAAACGGCTGTCATAATGAGTAAAATATGTTATGTTAAAATACTTTTTTTTTTTGTTATTTTCGTGATTGGTAAATCTTAGGTCGTGTATTTTTTAGCGTTTATTAATTTTCCAAATGGAAATTGCATTTTTGATTGTAATTTCTGAGAAAGTACTGTTACAGTTTTTGTGAAAAAAGTGCTCATATTTAATTTATTGACATGAAATTTTTTTTATTATTTTAACTCAAAAAAAGTTTTAGCTGGTGTATATCTTGACAATAATCAATTATCCATAAAGGAAAAAGCATTTTACCTTCTTGTTTTCAAGAAAAGGCTGTTGAAAATTTTCCAAAATTTTAGTTTCAATGTAGATGGCGCTGCCTCACTTGGACCTGGCCTTAAGGCCATGTGAGACAAAGACACTTTTTGGTAGTTTCCAGTATTCTCGGAAATGAGAAGAAATTTCGGGTTGAAATTTTGATGAATGATAAAAAAAGGGTTGAAGGAATTAGGCCGTTCTACTTATTTACTGTAATTGAATGCGAAATAATTTAAAAAAGTAATTAATAGTGGAATTAATAGGTTTTTGTTATTTCTTTGAGCGGCCACTAACTCGAATTGGCGCTAGTTCTTGGACCACTGATACATTCACGCGACGTCTGTATGTACCCCCGCCCTGTTGATTTCAACTTTCGTTCAAAAATGGGAATTTACAAACTTTTATTTTTAATACTTAAACGCAAAATTCTACTTCAAACCGAGAACAGCGCCATTCTGAATGCTATTCTCTATCATATTTTACAAATTTCAACCAAAAATTCTTTATCATTTTAGAGAAAACTTGAGAATACGATACCATGTTTCTAGCATGGGGGTCACGTGGGTATTTCCCACATGGCCTTAAAAGAAAAAATAAATCGGGAAAAATGAGGAAATAACCGGGAATTTTGTTGAACAAAATTAGTAGATACTCTGTTAATAACCTTATCATTCACTACATCAGTACTGAAAATTATATCAAATTTTCGAAAAAATAATTATTTCTACACTCAAAATTAGAAAAAAAACTACTTATGATAATTTGTTTTTTTTTATATTAATTAATTGTTTCTTGTCTTAAATTCTTTGGTTTGTAAAAATATCTCAATTTTTTTTTTAAATTAGGTATATTTATTTATGTAAAAAAAATGTTTGTTTTCAGCATCCGAGAGAGTGTCGTCAGTTCCAGCGAAAGCTCGACTTGGCATTTCGGGAACATCACCAAAACAAGTTACCTTCAATAGTTTTGCATCAATTGCGCACGTAAAAAAACCTGGAGTTTTTAGTAGACTTGGACTTTAATATTAGAGTTTTGAATTTTTCCGTCTTATTGTAAATATTTTAATTACTATACAAGTTTGAATGATTAAAGTATGAATCGAAGAATTTTTTGTAAGAAAAGAAAAAAATACAAAACAAAGAGTTTTCCACAAATTTAAGTTTTGAAGACGAATTAAGTTAAATATATTTTTTTTTATATTAACAATTTGACATTATTAATGAAATTAACTTTAAAAAAAATTTTTTTTTTTTAATCGGCTATTGTACAAAATTTAAAGTGTACAATATAAATAATTAAATAAAATAATAATTCAAAATAACAAAATTAAAATAGATACATGAAAATTTAATAATAAGGAAAGGTTATTGTACACAAAACAAAAAAATTTTGTAATTACATAGAAAACAATAGATTATAATTCTCCAATAATTACATGTTTGTAATGCTTTATAATATAATTTTGTCGCAATTAACAATATAATTATGTTTATTAATTATTATTTTTTTTTACCATTCCTCCGAGTTCTGTAAAGATTTTTCTTGGCCCTTAAGACCAGAGAGTGATAGAGATCGTAGCTGGAAATATTTTGTTCTGAAAAATGAAAATCCGTAAAAAATTGTCAAAATTCGATAAACAGTTAAAAGCATTTTTTTTTTAAATATAAAACATGCCTGGTCGATTAAATTTCTGCCGAGAAAGACAAGAAAATTTTTTTTTTTTAAAGCAAACGATTATCTTCGCCCTCTGGTGTTAAGTTTTTATTGTGATAATGCTGATGATAAAACCGCCTGGTTCCTGAAACTTAAATTACCAAAAAATATCAACTAATTGTTATTATGAAAAATGAAAATCAGTCTTTTCTTTTTTTACATTATTTTGAGTTCGTCATAAACTCAACTTATTATTTATAAGTTTTATACAGCAGTGAATATCTTCTCGAACCATAAATCTTAAAAAGAAAAAAAATGTTCGTTGAACATTATTAAAAAAATTGGTTGCAGATTTATCAATTGCGAATAAGAGTAGAAATAAAAATTTTTTTTTTCGATACTTTTATACTTAACCTGGTCAAGCTGCAACCTGATCATAATAATCATTTTTTATTATTTTTTTTTTTTTTTTAATGATCCGAGAAATGTCCATTATTGTAAACAACATCCAAGCAGATTACTGTAAACATTCCAACAGATCGTAAATATCACTTTCATACATTTTGTTTTTAAAAAACTATATGGATACAAAAACTTTACGTTCACAATCTAATGCAGTTTTATTATGTAAAATTGAAAATTTGGTATTTTTTTTTTTTTTAATTAATAATTTCACTGATAGTCCAATCAAATTAGAATTTTTTTGATATTTTAATTTCAAAAAGTAATTTTATACGAAAATTTTTTTTTAAAAAAGGAGACTAACTCTTTTTTTTTACTTGTTTTTGTTACATTATTACTTTTTAGTATCAAAAATTTTTTTTAGAAGAAAAAAAGTTTATGAAATTCCGAGTAATTAAAAAAAAAAAAGATTTTAGTTCAAAAACATTGAACTCCTTTTTTAAATTACTCGAAATTTAAACAAATTTCAAAAAAAAAAAAATGTACCAAAAATTTACATTTTTTAGTTTTAGTTAGAAACGTGTGTTGTTTTTTTTTAAGTTTTCGATTATTGTGTTTGATCTAATTATTTTTCGAAAAAATGATTAACACACCTTAAATTGAAAAAACAGTAAAAATTTTTCTAAATTCAGAAAAAGTGAAAAATTTTTCAAATACGAAATTGAAAAATAATCTAAATTTAAAATAACCGAACCTTTTTTAAATATTTTACTTTTACGAAACTTAGAATTTTTTTTTAAGTTTCTTTGTGTTGGTAAATTTTTAGTTTTATTGGAAAAAAAATTTTAATTTTCCTGAATTTAGAAAATTTTTCAGTTTATTTTGCTTTGAAAATTTTTTAGTTAAAATTTTATAAAAATATATCATTTTTTTCTCAAATTAGAAAATTTTTTAGATTTTCTCAAATTAGAGAATTTTTTGCCAAAACATTTGAATTAGTTTTAATTTTTCTTCAAACCATTTTTTTTTTTTTTTTTTTTTTTTTTTTGAAAAATAATTAGATTGAATATGAAAATCTGAAGAAACTTGCGTATAAAACCAAAATAGAGTTAAATTTGACAAAAATTGTGTCAAGAATAGACAAGAATTGCAAAAAACAATGGAACTGTGGCAAATTTTTGCCAAAAAAAAGAAAAGTTAAAAACTTCAAAGTTATGAAAAAATTGGAATTTTTTTTGCAACAAAAAAAGTAAAAAAATTTCTATGATTAGAAAAACTAAAATTTGTTGTTTTCAAAAAAATAAGAAGTAAAAATCTTTTTTCTACGTTTAGAAAAACTGAAAAATTCTCTAAAATACAAAAAAAAAAATTTCTATAAACTCCGAATAACTGAAACTTCAAAAAAAAAAATTGTTTCCTCTTTCCAAAATTTAATTTGTATGTATCTCAGAAATTTTTTTTGTATTTAAAAATTTTTAGTTTTCTCGGCAAAAAAATTTAGTTTTTCTAAATTTAGAATTACTTTTTTTTTCTTTATATTTTAAAAAAAATTTAGTTTTCTTGAAGAACATTTTAGTTTATCCTAACTTAGAAAAATTCTTATCTTCTCTTTTAATTTGAAAATGTTAAGTTTTCTTGAAATTATTTCTAGGTTTTCTCAATTTAGAAAAATTCCTAGTTTTTGTTTAATTTCAAAATTTTTTAGTTTTTTTGAAAAAAAAAGAATTCAGTTTTTTTTTTTGTATCTAAGAAAATTTTTTTTGAAATTATAGAATTTTTTTTGCTTTTTTTTGTATCTGGGAAAAATTTAGGGGTTTTTTTTTGTGAATTTTTTTTTACTATTTTTGAACTTGTAAAATTTTTTTTTAAGTTATTTTCTTTGGCTAAGGAAGTAGTTTTTTCTTTAAAAAATAATAGTAAAAAAAAAATTCACATCAGTAATTTCCAATATCTTTCCAATGTTTACCAAATTTTTCAAATGATTGTAATTAGATGATTTTTTCAATTCCTGTCCATAGTATGCAATGTTCTTTTTTTTAAATTACTCGGAATTTAATCAAGTTTAAAAAAAAACGCACCAATAATTAGGTACTTTATTTTTACACCAAAAATATGGTTTTAAGGCGAATAAAATAATTACTTTTAGAACTTAAATCGGAAATTTCACTTTTTTTTTGTTTTTATATTTATTTTATATATTTTGTTTTATTTTATTAATTCGATTGGACTATAAAATTTTCAAAAAGAAAAAAAAAATCTACGTTAATTTACATTTGAGTTTACCTTTGTATAATTTACTATTTTAAATAATAGTAAAAATTGATTAAATTCGAAAAAAAATTTCAAAATTGCATTAGTTTTGAAACAAGAAAGTTTTTGTTTCGAAACGAAGATGCAACGCCCACCTTTTATTTTAATATCAGCGTTACCGCATGGCACCAAGAGCTTCTCTCCTGTAAAAATGAAAATCTTTTACAGAATCGGAGGACTATTCTATGCGCGTTTACATCTATACATATATAATGCTTACATTCATTCGTATTTTTTTTTAAACTTATTACATTAAAAACTTGAAAAATATCTTCTTTTTTCAAATTAAATTCAATACATTTTTTTTTTTTCATGTAAATTATAACAATAAAAAATTCTTCTTTCCAAGAAGAATTAAAATTACTTTTCTTTTTAATTAAATTAAATTAAACCATTAAATTCGTCAGTTTTAAAATTTTTTTCTACATTTAATTTAAAATAAAATTATTTTATTTTAATTTTATTTAAAATTAAATGTTAACTTAAAAACAATAAAAGGTTTCAGAAATTGAATTAATTTTATAAAAATGGAAATAAACAACAAAATTATTCCACGTAAATAATTTTATGAAAATTATTGATTTTCCAAGAATTATTAATTTTATAAAAATTATTAATTTTTATCAAATTATTATCTTTATAAAAATTGATTTAGTAGAAAAAAAAAGAAATTGTTTTCACAAATAAAAAGTTAAGGAAAAATTTCTTTTCAAAAGAAATAATAATTTCCAAATTGTTAAAGAAATTTTTCTGAAACCTTTTAACTTACATTTTTTCAAGTTTGAAAAAAAAAGAAGAAAAAAAAAATTAGACTTTGCTAAAAAAAACTTATTATTACAAAAAAAAAAAAGCCTAAAGCTTTCAAGTCTTTAAAATGCATTAAACATGACAGTGTGATTAGAAATAAATAATTATACTGATTATCAAATAACACTCAATACCGACCATTTGTTTGTTGTTATGAACATTAAATTTTATCCAAAAGATTGAAGATTCCATTTTTCTTTATCCAGCAAAATGACGTTGACAAAGAAAAAGAATAAAAAAAAACGACGAAGATATTTCCATTTGGATTCCCTCGATTAAAAAATTGAATTTTTCTTCATCTTCTTCATTATCCTTGGCTCTCATTCTAATATTGGATTTGCACTATTCATCTGACAGGAGGAACAAAATTCCAATGATACTCTATTTGGATTGACGTGTAAACAAATTCCAGAATTTTCATCGAGTCCTTGAAAAAAATCCTCATCAATTGTTGCACAAGTTGTTGATACTTGATCAAAATCCAATGTCATATCATCAAATTTGCCAAGATCATCGAAAATATTGTTTGTTGAAAAATTGGAAAAATCATTGAAATCCATTTCATTGAATGTTGTCGTTGATGGATGATCATCACTTATTTTATCATTTAAACTGTCAGGCGTTATTGGAAGATGATTCTTGAAATTATTCTTCTCCTGCCTTGTATCGTGAAATAATTCTTCCTCCTCATCTGCTGATGATAAAATTTTGCTAGTATAATAATTATGATCATATTCAATGGGATGGGCCATTTTTTTTGCAATCTTACCAGATTTTGATAAATTATTGTTCATCCTGTATGCTTCAGCAAGTAATTGATAGCTGTCATTATTTGTGATTTTGCCATTTTCATTCTCTAATTTTATTCTATAATCATCGTTAAATAATAATTTATTCTCCGCTGGCACAAAATCAAGTGAATCTTTATTATTTTCATTTTGTCGATGTAATATTGTTGTTTTTTGTTGTATTTTATTATGTTGTATTTTCTCCAAATTTTCATTCATTGATCTCAATAATATTGTAATACTACTTTTATTATTGAGAACACTTTTTAAATATGAAACATCGGCATTTAATTTTTTTATATCAATATTTTGTTGTTTTATCACTGTTGTGAGATTTTTATTTTCATGTTGTAATTGTTGTAATTTATTTTCAATTTTTTCAATATATTCCTTTTTTTTTTGACGATTTTCACGTGCCATTTGGGCATTTCTATTGAGGCATGGACGTTTTGATGGGCCACGGCCACGTTTTTTAACAACAACGCCTTCACGTAGAATTTCATCAGCCATCATATTATTATGATTATTTGTACGTATCCTTGCGCGTTTATGTAATGGCTGCAATGGCTGGTACGTACTGTCACTCATTTCATCGGACGTTGTATTTTCGTCTTGATAAATTGGTCGCCGTCTAGGTGCCATTGTTTTCACTGAATTCAATTGTAATGGAGCCGTTTTTAATTAAATTAGTTGGTTCCACAATAATTTTATTGAATTCTAAATGAATTTTTTTTTATCACTTTAAAAAATATTACGTGCAAAATTCACTTCTACTTCGTATTATTGCAGGAAGGTTACTGACGTGACAGTGCAAAGTGAAACTTCCGCTTCAAGGTAATTTTACAATGAAAGATGGGTTCAATGTCCATGCTATTGTACACGATTGTGATTGGATATGAGGTTGTGTTTGATAGTAAGTAACCAATTAGAATTTGTTTTTTGTGCTGCGAATTGAGAACGAAATTGAGAAGCATAAATTCAAGTGAAGTGAAGTTTCACTTCTTTGTTTAGTGTTTATAGTTTATGGTCCCTAATAATAATAATAATCAGCAAGAAAACAATAATATATAGATATATATTGGAACCTTTCTCTTTCTCTTTTAGTGGGAAGGGTAAATGGAAACTTTTTCAAATTTCTAAATAGAAAATGTTATTAAAATGAGGTCAAGAGAAGCAGGTCATAAATTAATGTTTCATATGTATATATAAATAAGTTTTAGAACTTAGATTAACAATAATTATAAACAAAAAAAAAAATGAAAAATAGTTGATGCCTTATGGAGGCGTCAAGAAGCGTATTTTATGGCTTCGTGCATTCACGAATCTCAGATAATTTGTATTCAGTATTCAAGCAGGTTCAGGGTCAAAAAAAGAAGCAAAAGAGATAAAAAAAAACCAAAATTTTTCTGAATTTACAATCTTAAAAGCTATATGAAAGTACACATAAGGAATTTTGAATCAAAATTTTAATTTGCACTGAAAACCCTTTAAAAATGTCTGCCAGTTCCTATAATTATGATTGTATTGTATTAAATATATTAATAAATATTTTATTTCTATGTATACATTAGATATTGAAAATAAATTTTAATAATTCCTTATAAGAATAATTGTATAGGAAATTGTATAAAGAAATTTAATTTAGATAATATTTCAAAATTGAATAACTCAGACAAATTTTCAATAATAAAAAAGTATGAAAATTACTTTTTTAAGGTTATGTGATTGTTGTGATTTCACATGTAAATATTCTCCGCAGATTTTCTCACAAAATATTTAATAGATTTAGCTAAAATTTTGTGGAGAGCTTAAAAATAGTATGAAAATTCGTTGTCATGTGCCATATATATTATATAAATATTTTATCAAAAAATTTCATAACAACGAATCTTTATACTATTTTTGAATTTTCTATACAAAATTTTAGCTTAATCTATCAAGTATTTTGCGAGAAAAACTGCATATAATATTTACATGTGAAATTACAAAACAATCACATAACCTTAAGGGTATGTGGGAACATCCCACGTGACCTAATGTGGGAAATCGTGTTTTACGAAAACCAAACTTTCTCTAAAATGAAAAAATATTTTGACGTAAAATTTTTAGGATTGATAGATTTGGGTACAATGCACATCGCTGTTCTCTTGAAAAAAAACATATTTTTGCGTTAAATTATTAAAAAATGAAGTTTAAAAAGTGGCATTTTCAAACGAAAATGAAAACAAAGATGGCGGCGCATACACAGACTATATGATATAATACATTATTTTACTATTTATTGCTTTATTTTTATTATTTTTGAATAAAAGTTATGGTAAATGAATAGAACAGCGAGATTCCTTGTACCAAACAAAATCATTTCTTGAAAATTTTAACCCGAAATCATTTTTTATTTCAGAGAAAGTTTCAAACCACAAAAAAACGTCCTTTGCCCACATGGCCTTAATGTTGAAATGGTTGAAAAAAAAATTTTTTAAATAATTGAATTTTAGAAGAATTTGATAAAAATTTTTTGAATTCAAATAAATTGATTAATGAAAATTATAAATTTGGCGAAGAATTTTAGATAATTTTTGAAATTAATTGTGTTTTCGAAGTATATTATCTGCATATTTATAATTTTTAGAAATAATTGAATTTCAAGAGATTTTTAATTGAAATTTTTGTAAAATTAAATTGCAGAAGGTTTTTTTTTACTTTCAGACAATAATTAGATATTTAAAAATTTTATAATTAAATAGATAAAAAATATTTAACATAATTGAATTTTAGAACTTCGTTAAAATTATTAAAAATAATTAACTTTATAAAGATTATTTAAATGAAATTTAAAAAATAATTGAATTTTATAAGAGCTACAGTCAAAATATTTTTCCAATGAATCAAAACTTCACGAAATTTTGAATTAAAAATTTTTTTAATTCAAATTGAAAAAATTTTTAAAAGAATTTTAGTCAATAATTGATTTTTAGAGAATTTTTAATTGAAACATAATATTTAAATAACTGAATTTTTCAAAAAATTTCATTAAAATTATTTAAAAAATAGTATATCTAATTAATTTAGCAAAGATTTTTTAGATTCAAATTTTCATAATAATTAAATTTTTTAAAGATCTATACAAAAAAAAAGTCAGAGATATTTTGTTTTTAATTTCATAAATTAATTAATTTTTAATTTTATTTTCAAAAATAAGTCGAAAAAATTGTCTTTTACTATATAAGTAAGTTGAAAAAAGTAGGAAAAAGTCGTACAATTTATTTGAGGTCTGTAATTTCAAATTTTTAAAAAAATATTCCTAAGCTAAAAAAAAATTCATTAATTTTAATAAAGTTCCTATAAAAATGACTTTTGAGTAACTTTTTAAAAATTATTTCCATAATATGTAATAATAATTTTAATTTTTTGTAAATTTTGTGTGTAAAATATTAAAATTAGAATGAGAAAGACCTTAAAAATGTTATAATAACCTTTATTCAACGGAATTCGTAACAGAACGTGAGGTGGAACGTGAAATGTCGGCGCGGTTGTACAGTCATATTTATCACTTGATATTGAACTATGTTTTAAAATGATATAAAAACAATTTTTTTCCTCTCTATTGTTGTCAGAAATCTTTTTTTTTTTTTACCATCACACAGAAACGTTCACCATTGCCTTTTACAAAAATATAATATTTAATTTTATATAATATAAATATACAATATTTAAATAAAAAGCAATGTGAACATTTCGAATTTTGTGATGGTAAAAAACAAAGATTTATAAATTATATATACCATATAATTAATATACATCACTATCATCTTAGTTCAATATCAAGAATCGCTATTCGCCTCTGCGAAGCAGTTTGCCATTTTTTTTTTCGGATAAATACAGCTAAATTGCTCAGAGGAACATTACCATCAAAAAAGTGTTAGGGTCACAATTTTCACTCATCGATACCCGCATCCACGAACACTATTATTCAAAAAACACAACGTATCAATATTAGAATCTATATATATATATTTTTTTTTTGCACAAGTCTTTCAAAAAATGTCCACCTTCAATTTGTTTCCACTTATATTACTCGATTCGCAATTTATTTATTTTTTTATTAATCATATTTATACGTGAAAATGTCAGTATCCTAGTGAAGTTATTTTTTTTTCTTCCTAATAAATTAATATAATTTTTTTTTTTTTTTATGAAACAAAATTTCACGCATTTAAAAACGATTTTTCATTTCAACTACATGGACGGTGTTTATATTTATATATATCTCGAATTAGAGAAAAGAAAAAATATTTTCCGTGCTTAATTCTGAGATGGCACTTAAAAAAAAAACGTCAAATTTAAAAAAAAAACCGAGATTCCTTTTTTACTCCACTAGAACACTTTTACATGTGCGTATATATATGTGTATATATTTATACTTTTTTATATATATATATATAATATATACATCTCTATGTAGCTTCTCGTTTCAATATCAATAATAATAATGATAATAATAATAATAATAGTTAATGTACACTCTTTAAATGTAATAGCAAATAATAAAATAATATATAATAATAAAAATAAAAATGGTGACAATAGATCACAATTATAATTAAAGAAAAAAAAAAAATAAATCTAACGATAACAATTTCCATTATTTTTTTTTTTCTTCTCTCCTTCAACTCTATACAATTGCACAGATATTTACAATCAGTAACACACGCTGAGTTATTAAAGTGCCTTTGAGCGCAAGATACATATTTGCAAATCTTGAATTGTGTTTGTTAACTATGAAAATTTGGCACATTTTCTGATTTTGTTAATGTTCGTTTAAAACTCTTGGCACAATGCTGGATCTCAATATATATATAATATATATACGGATCTAGAAAGTCAAAAAGGCATATTTTTTTTTTTTTTTTTTTTTCTTAAACAATCTAACGAGGATCCTAACATTGTTTTTAGTCACTGTAACTTAGAAAATTCACGCACACACACACACATATACACACTGGCATAACAGAAGAGACTTCGATACTCTTTTTAAAAAGTCTTAAAAAAAATTTATTTCTTGCATTTGGTGCATTATTTTTAACATTGATCAAAGTAAAAAATTAAAATCCTATTTTATCTCAGGATTTTTTTTTCTTTTTTGATTCGACAAACGATGTGAATTATATATATAAAAAAAGGAGGAGGGTCATAGTGGAAAAAAAATTACCCACTTTGGACAAAAATCTGCTGACAACTCAAATAACAATCGATTTTGTTAAATTAAAAAAAAAAATTTTTTATCAAAATTGTTTGTGATTTGACTTGTCAGGAGATTTTTGTCCAAAAATGGTCATTTTTTTTCCCCCCACTGTGGGCGAAGGATGCGACAATCGATGTATCATTATCATTCTTAATCACCGCTGAGAAAAGAGACGTTCTAGTCTTTAAAAAAAAAAATTTTCCACAAACTTGACATTCTTTTTTTTGTTCTTATTTATTTATTTTTATTTTTTTGAGTATACTCGAGCTAAGTCTATTGCATTAACGATTCTATACGTTATAGAAACACGATTTTTTTTTTCTCTAAACAGTCACGAGATTAGCCTATGGCGAACAGTAAATCGTTAATAATTTTCCTTGCAATTTTAGGGAATTTTTTTTTTTTTTTTTTTTTTTTATTTTTTTTTTGCGGAATCTAGGTTTACAACAGACATTTGGCTTATTTAATGTGATTGAGTTAGAAGACCGACCGACTGTTTTCACGCAGGATTCTGAGAAAAGAGTTAATAGATAGAGAAAAATGAGTATCACTCATGTCTTTGATGAATCGAAAAAGGTCGTGCGAAATAACTCGGTGAAAGTTCGTTTAACAAATATTACAAAAATTTGACTCGAGTGCCAAAAGCATGTTTTTTTTTTTTTTTTTTTTTTTTGAACAAGAGTATATAAATTAGATATTATTTTTTTTTATAAATTAGAAATCGCTCTCGCCGACTGAGAAAAAAGATACACAAAAAATGCTTCGATGACGTTGAGAAGCAAACGGCGGTGGCTCACTTTTTTTTCTATATATATATATATATATATTTTGCTTTTTTTCGTACAATCTAAGACGTTTATTACATGCCACTTGATGTCATTATTTGTCTATAGTGCGTCTTAGTAATATGACTGCAAAATTCTAAACACTATTTACTATTTGATTTCATTGTATTTTATAAACACAGAAATCATTTTTTTTTTTTATTTTTTTTTATTTCTTTTGGGCGATTTCAGTCCGAAATTTGGTAAGTAGAGACTGGCTCATGTTTTTCTTTTTTTTTTTCATTAAATTTAAAATCTTAACACTACTGGAGCCATGATGCTGGAACCCATTGTGGTTCTCTTTCAAGTGAATTAATTTCCGTCAATAGTTGATTGTACGCTCGATCTGTGTCATTATTAATAATAATCATATCAAAGAGATGACCATATTTATCCTCCATTTCTCTTGCTTTTTCAATGATATCCTTTAATTCATCTTCCTTGAAATTTTCATTATTTTTTATTCGTTTTTGTCGTAATTTCTCTAAACTTGGAGGCGCAACAAAAACAACATATGGCTTTAGATCGGAGGTTCGCAATATTTTTAAACTTTGTGGATGAAGATTTAGAACACAAATTTTCCCTGAATTAACAACAGAACGTATTGCCTCAACTGATGTTCCATAATAGGCTTTCTCATATTCTCCATGTTCAACAAATTTTCGACAAAGTATATCCGATTCAAATTGTGAACGTGATATAAAATGATAATCTTGTCCATCGATCTCTGAATCTTTTCTTGGTCGGCTTGTGTCTAAAATAAAAGAGAAAAAATTAATATGAGAAAATTAACCCAAAAAAAATAAATGGAACTAATTAATTATTTATGTAAATTAAAAAGAAAAATAAATAAAACTCACGTGGTATTGCTGCCGCGAATCGCTCACTGTCTTGCATTAATCTCTGTCGAAGTTCGTGTCGACCAATATTTGGAGGACCTATGAGCACAATCGGCCTTTTATGATTCGCTCTTGGATAGTATAAGGCCACTTCTTCATATGTAAGCACCTCTTCGCTGTCGTAATCTGTAATAATTATTAAAAGAAAATTAGTTGCAATGCAAAAAAAAACACACGTTGCTAAAAAAAAACAAAGGGAAAATCGAGAATTTTTTCCTATTTTGTAAAAAATTTTAAAACTTTGTAGGAATTTTCAAAAAAAAAAAAAAAGAAAAATTTTGAAGAAAAAAAAAACATAATATACGAAAAAAGAAAAATTGTATTAAAATCTTAAAATATTTTAAATAAAATTCCCGGTTTAATGAAAAATTCTTAGTTAATTTTTGAGAAAGAAAATAAATACCTACGAAAATTTTAGAGAAATGAAAGGTAATAAAAAAAAAATCGAAGAAATTCAAAGAAAAACCGAAAATTTTTAGAACTTCCCAAAAAAAGTGAATTTTATAAAATGAAAAAAAAATCTACAGAAATACAATGTTGAAGAAACGAAAAATTCAATGAAAATTCCAAGAAATTCTCTATATAAAAGAAAAAAAAAAGAATTAATTTAAATAAATAAATAATAATTTACCGTCAATACTTGTCGTTGCATAAAGAGGATATCCATCGTCGTTGAAATTCGAACCAAATTTATTTCGTTTTTTCTTCTTTGGATTTTTTCTCGCACAAAGTAACGTACTGGATTTTTTCGAACCACGTACCGTTGACTTATCGCCAGCAATCGTTTGTTTCATAGATTCACGCCTAAAATTAGTCAAATAATTTAATTAATGGAAACAATAACAATATTAATAAATAAAAATAATTATGATTTAATCATTTTTATGACAAAAATAATAATAATAATAATAATTATTAATAAAATTTACCAATCAATTCAAGTCAGGTTGTAAGAATAAACAATTTAAATCACATTCATTTTAATTTTACCAAGTGATAAATTTATTATACAGTAATTATTATTAGATATTAATCAAAACTTTATCGTTTAAGTTGTATTTTTAAAAAAGTATAAATAAATTCAAAAAAAAACACTTTTTAATTAAGAATTTTGTTTCTAATAATATAATAAAGTAAAACTCTGTTCCTCTATTCTGCATTTCTTTCTTTTATTTCATAAATATTAATTTATTATTTACCTTTTTTTTCTTAATAAAAATTATTATTCTTATTGGAAGAGAAATCACTATAGTTAATTAGAAAATAATTGTAAAATGAAAATAAAATACTCACTGATGCTGAAAGGCTTTGCTTGGAATCAAACCAGCCAATGTTTGATCTTCTTCTCCTTCTCGATAAGCTTGCCACCAATTAGGATCCTCTTGTGAAATAACGTGAAGCACATCTCCTTTTTGAAAACTCACTCCTAATTCTCGACAAGGAATGTAAGGATCTTCCTCGGGATCATAGTCGAAATGTGCCCGCACATGTTGTATCTATTTTACAAAAAAATTTACAAATTACATTCAATTACAATTCAAATTTAATTTCAAAGTAAAAAAATATTTTATCAAATCATTATATAAATATTTAATCTGAATAAATTTTTCATTCATTGCAATATTAACGTTGTAATCAATTAAAAATTAATGTTAATAAATTAATATTTAACTTAACTAAAAATTAATTAATTTTTAATATTTATACCTACCATTAATAATTAAAAACAATTTCAATGTAATATTTAATCAAAAGTTAGTTTCATCTAATTTAGTTAATATTTGATTTAAAAGAAATTGATTAAATTTTGAAATTTAATATTTTATTTTTTAAAAAAATGGAATTTAAAAATATTAAATAAATTGAGATTAAAGTATAACTATAGTCAACATTAAAATGATAAAATTTTACCTGTTGATTATCTTCTCGTTTATTGTTATTTGAATTAGAATTTGTTGTGGGTGTAGGAAATATTAGGAAAGTCAAACTTCCTTGCATTCCTGCTAAAATGTCACAGACTTCATTCACACTCTTTCCTCGCATTTCGACGCCATTCACTTCTAGCACCTCATCGCCTTCATGTAATAATCCTGATTTATCGGCGGCTCCTCCTCGCACCACACGACCTAGAATCAAAAAAAAAAAATCATCTTCAAAATATTTCTTCCATAAAAAATAAAACCAAAATTGAAATAAATTTTAAATAAAATCAAACGGGAATAACAATTTAAAAATCAAACAAATTACATATAATTGTAATTTAAAAATTAACAATACTTTTGTATTTATTTTAGTTCATTTTCATTTCAACGTGTAAATATTTAATCAGAAAAAACAAGAATCAGGGAAAGTTTTTACCTTCTTCACCTTTCCGATAATTCAAATAATTTTCGAATGTAATATTTAAAAAAAAAATTAAATTTACAATCTAAAATCATTAATTTAAACTCAGGAAAATTGAAAAATAACTTATAAGTTTAAAAAGAATTCTTTTTTTCATCATTCCTTGAGCTTATATTAATTAAAAGAACAAAAAATTGTAGACTTTCATCTTTTCTATGATTCAATTGACCCAAGAATCAATTTATCAAAATATTTCATAGATTTAAAAATTATTTATACCAAATTTCAATAAATTTTAATTTTCAATTAGTTGAAATATTTATTGGTCAAAATTTTAATTATTCTATATTTAAATTCCTTTCAATTCTAATCAACCATCAATTCAATTTATCCAAATTTAAATCTATTCAAATTTTAATTTATCCAAACTTCAATAAATTTTCAATTTGATTCAATTCAAACCAAAATTTCAATTCAATATAAATTTTAATGTAAATTTCAAATATCCCAACTTTTAAACAATTATAAATCTTTATTATCAAAACAAATTTATTAATTATAATTTTAATCACATGAAAACTCAATAGATAGACACTTAAAATTACGAAATTTCAAACTGTCCAAATTTAAATTGACTTAAGTTTACAATTATCCAAATTACAAAATTTGTCAAAATTTTAATTGTTTTAAGTTTGAAATTATTCAAAATTCTATGGATTTAAGTTGAATTTCAATTTGTACAAATTTTCATTGATTTAAGTTTAAAAATATCTAAATTTTAATTGATTTAAGTTTTATATTATTCGAATTTTAATTTATATAAATTTTAATTGATCTAAGTTTACAATTATCCGAATTTCGAATTTAATCAAATTTTGATTTATTAAAACTTTAAATTATTTTTATTATTTTTATATTTTTTTATATAATAAATATATATTTATATAAATATAAAATATTTAAATTTTATTTTAAATATTTATATAAATATAAAATATATTTTTTTATATTTTTTTAGTTTCAAATTATCCGAATTTTAGTTTGTTTTATCTTTAGACATATTTTAGTCCAAAATTATCAAAATTCTTATTGATTTCTGTTTCCGAATGATCCGAATTCATTTCAATTTTTATTGATTTCCGTTTCAAATTATCCAAATTTTAATTCATTTCAAATTTTAATTCATTTCAAATTTTAATTTATTTCAGTTTCAAATTATTCGAATTTCAGTTTATTTGAATTTTCATTTACAATGTAAAATTATTTAAATTTTAATTGTTTTTAGTTTCAAATTATCTGAATTTAAATAATTCCAAAATGTAAATTGACTTAAAGTGTAAAATATTTTAAATTTTGATTGATTTAATTTTACAATTATCCGAATTTGAGTTTAACAAAATTTTGATTGATTAAAACTTCAAATTATCCGAATTTTAATTCGTTCAAATTTTAATTTATTTCAGTCCCAAATTATCCGAATTACAATTGATTTTAGTTTTAAATTATTAGAATTTTAATTGATTTTAGTTTTAAATTATCCGAATTTTAGTTCGTTTCACTTTAGACTTATTTTAGTCCAAAATTAACCAAATTTTAATTCATTTCAAATTTTAATTTATTTCAGTTTTAAATTATTAGAATTTTAATTGATTTTAGTTTCAAATTATCCGAATTTTAGTTCGTTTCACTTTAGACTTATTTTAATCCAAAATTATCAAAATTTTTATTGATTTCTGTTTCCAAATGATCCGAATGATAATTCATTTCAATTTTTATTGATTTCCGTTTCAAATTATCCAAATTTTAATTCATTTCAAATTTTAATTTATTTCAGTTTTAAATTATTCGAATTTTAGTTTATTTGAGTTTTTATTTACAATATAAAATTATCTAAATTTTAATTGTTTTTAGTTTCAAATTATCCGAATTTAAATTAGTCCAAAATTTAAATTGTCTTAAAGTGTAAAATATTTTAAATTTTGATTAATTTACAATTATCTGAATTTGAGTTTAACAAAATTTGAATTGATTTAAATTTCAAATTATCGGATTTTAATTTTATTCAAGTTTTTATTGACATTAGTTTCAAATTATCCAAATTACAATTGATTATTGTGTTAAATTATTTTAAATTCAATTTACCCAAATTTTGATTGATTTAAGTTGAAATTTATATAAAATTCAATTTATCCAAAATTTTAAACTATCAATGCCTCGATCATTGATGAAAAAAATTTGAATAGATACAAATTAGTTATTTGGCACTCTAATTGGTATCAATTACTAGTTTTTTTTTTTGTCACATATTTTCGATGAATAATTCACCTATTTTCAAGGAAAAAAAAAGTACTGTGACCCTTGTTCTTAAAAATTCTAAAAAAATCTAGTAGTATAGAAAACTAGGTTTTCAAATTTCAAATTATAAGATTTCTATTCTAATTCATAAAAATTTAATAAACCATTTTTGTCAGGAAAATTTATTCTTGCGGCAACTCTATTAATTCTATATTTTAATTATTTAAACATTATGCCAATCAAGTATATTAGTTATTTGATGAAACTATGGTTCGTTGACTTTAAACAAGATAAAATAATAAATTCCATCGGTAAATTTTTTAATAACGAGAATATTATTATTATTATTTTCACATAAATCTCTGATCCATGAAATAATGAACTAGGTTTCTCTAAAGGTAACAAAAAGAAGAAAGAAGAAAAATTATTCTCTCAATATAAATTCTTTTCAAGTTCTCAACTGTGTATATATATATATATATATATAGAAGTTGGTTAACCACAACTTACCAATAATGACAGCTTCTCCTTCGTTTCTGACTGTAGCCCCAAGAGGTTCGTTGGTTTTTTCTATTCTAATGATCTTGATATTGTCAGCTACACGAGAATCTCTGAGACTTAACGACGGACTAGGTGGACTGCTTGGTGAGGAGGAACTATGTTTTGCCTGAAAGCCATCCACACAGGAGATAATCGAGTCGTGAGCCAACAGAAGACCTTCCATTTCATAACTAGTTAGTAAGGCTGTTAGTTCCTCAGCGGCGGCTATCGTTTCCCCCGCTGTTGCGGCTTTTGCAGCCATTGATGATTGCCATTGCTCCAGGACCTCGACACACTGTATAAAATGACAATTAAAACGTCAAACAAGTAAAAAGGAGGAAAAAAAAAAAAAAAAAGTTAAGCAAACAACTCTCTTGAAAATGACCTTCAATTCCTCTTTATATATTTTATTAGAAAAATTGTGGAATTTTTCTCTTCTCTTTTCTATCTCATAAATGCAAAATATTGTAGGCGTTGCCTACACGCGTACTTGTGAAAATATTCAAATCTCAGAATCCATTGTTTCTTAATGTCTATAAACTTATTGTATTTGTGAATATTATTTTTATAGTCTTGGAAAAATTTTCAAACTTTTTAGTATAAATTTCTTTCTTTTTTTAGTTGAAAAGAAAATTTTCTTTTTTTTTTTAATAATTTTCGATTAAACGTACATTTCCTAAAAGTAATTAATTTGAACTTCCATTAAATTTTATAAGACCTAATTTCAATTTAATTGGATTTTCATCAAATTAAATTTCTATCAAATAGAAAAAAAATTGATATTTTAAAATTATAATTCTACTAAATGCAAATTTGGTAAAATAAAAATTTTCCGGAAAATTTTAATTAAAGTTTCAGAAATTTCAGTTTTGATAGAAATTCTATTACTTAAATGAAAATTGAGTTAAATAAAAATTTTGTTATAAAATAAAATTTTCTGAAAATTCAGCTAAATAAAAGTTCTATTAAATACAAGAAATTCTATAAAATGAAAATTCAGTTAAATAAATATTTTGTTTATTTTTAATTATGCTACGAAAAATTAGACAAAAAATTCTATAATTTAATTATTTTTTACAAAAATCAAATTTCTAATTAATGAAAATGTAAAAATTGAACATTATTTTTCTTACATGATGCTTTTCACTGAAATTTTTATTTGTTTTCTAAAGTACATTAAAAATGAATGAATACCTTTAAAAATTTTAATTTTGATGATATTTTTTAAAATTCAACTTCTACATAATATTTATTACTATATGGGTTTTTAAAAATTTTCATTAAAAAAAAAAATTAACAAAATTGTAAAATTTTAATTTAACAAATTTTATAATTTACAGAATTTTCATTTTTGAGAATTTATGGTTAATAAAATTTTTCTAAAATGAAATTTTTATTTAATCGAATTTCTACTTAGTCGAATTTTTATTTAAAACAATTTGCATTTCAAAGAATTTTTATTTAACCGATTTTCATTTTACAGAACATTCATTTAAACGGATTTTTTATTTAACGTAATTCTAACTTTAAATAGATATTTATTTAGCCGAATTTTTAAATAAAGAAATTTCTAATTCGTATGCTTCTTAACTTCTGACATAATTTTTTTTTTTTTTTATCAAACTTCCAAAATTAACAAATCAAAAACTATCAAAAAAATTGAGGTTTTTAATTAAAATAATCCGGTGAAATATAAATTCCTTCATTTAAAAATTGACGCAAATAAAAATACATTACAATAAAATTTGTTAATTTCTCTTCAAAGTTCCTTTAATTCCGTCTTAATAAAAATTTAAATAAAAAAATTTCAATAGTAAAAATCAAATTTCTATACGAATAAATAAAAAATTTTGTTTATCAAAAAATTCTGTTAAAAATATAATTTCAATCAAATGAAAATTCCGCTAAATAAAATTTCAATGAACTAGAAAAATTTGGCAAAAAAAAAAATAAAACTTGTTAGTTTTAATAAAAATTCGACGATGCGAAAATTCGATTAAATATAAATTTAATCTTATAAAATTCGCTTCACTAAAAAATTCAAATTAATTTTTATCCTCAAAAAAATTAATTGGATTTTTCAGTGATAAAAATGTTTGGAAACATTTTTTTTTTTTTTTAGGGGAAAAAACTGTAATATTTATATTCAAATAAAAATTTGATATTAAATATAGAAATATTTTATATTTAACAATTTAAAAGAAAAGCTATTTAATTACAGAATTAAAAATCACAATTTATACTAAAATCTCTTATATTTAAAAAAAAAATTTCCATTTGTGACAATAAATTTCTAATTTGAAATTCATACCATTTTCCCCGATTAGTAAACACCTTGCATTTTCTCTATATATTTTGAATATAAATTCAACCTTACATAGCCAAGAATTGTAATCATAAAATACTCACATCTCGAGCTAGTGTTGATGCATCCTCGGAATAATGTTTGAGAACTTTGCCAGATCTCAATCGACTTTTCAAGGCGTGATGAGTCGACAAAGCAGTTGCAAATCGCCTTTGAACCAAAAGCGTTCGAACTGCTTCCAATTCAGCCTCGACACCTGGTCCCGAAATTCCCAAAGCCCCGGATATACTTCGCAATTGAAGTTGCAGCCTTTCAAGAGATGCAACCACCTCTCCGTAAGCTGAAAAAAAAATTATTATTTAGAAGAAGAAAAAATTATCTGAATTTTAATTCGTTCCAATTTAGATTGATTTCAGTACCAAATTATCAAATTTCTTTTTATTGATTTCAGTTTAAAATTATACGAAATTAAATTTATACAAAATTTAATTGATTTAAGTATTAAATTTTTCGAATTTCATTTTGTTCAAGTTTTTATTGACTTCAGTTTCAAATTATCTGAATTACAATTGATTTTAGTTTCAAATTATCCGAATTCGTTCCAATTTTAATTTATTTAAGTTTCAAATTTTCCGAATTTTTAATTTCTTTCAGTTTTAAATTATCCGAATTTAAGTTTGTTCAAGTATTTATTGATTTTAATATAAAATTATCTAAATTTTAATTGTTTTTTTGTTTCAAATTACCCGAATTTCAATTTGACCAAAATTTAAATTGACTTAAAAGTGTAAAATATTTTAAATTATCAGAATTTGAATTTAACAAAATATTGATTGATTAAAATTTTTAAATTTATCCGAATTAAAATTTTTTTTAAATTATAATTGACTTAAGGATTAAAATATTCCAAATTTTAATTGATTTCAGCTTCAAATTATCCGAATTTTAATTCATTCCAATTTTAATTTATTTCAGTTTAAAATTATTCGAATTACAATTTGTCCAAAATTTGAATTGATTTAAACTTCAAATTATTGGAAATTTAATTTTTATTTACATTTTTATTTATTTCAAATTTAAATTGTCCAAATTTTAATTGATTTGAGTTTAAAATTATACGAAATTAAATTTATACAAAATTTAATTGATTTAAGTATTAAATTTTTCGAATTTCAGTTTGTTTAAGTTTTCATTGACTTCAGTGTTAAATTATCCAAATTTTAAGGAAGAATCGTACAAAGAATTAGAACAAAAGTTTATTTCAATTGCGTATTTAAAAAAAAGAGTATTTAAATTTTAAACAAGTTTCTGTAAAAATTTTAAATATTTAAATTTTTAAATTTTTAAATTTTTAAAAATTAGAAATTGCATTTAAATCAAAATCGTTTTCTATGCATAAAAACTTTTAATCGCGATTTAATTTCAATTTCTAATTGTTTAACTGTTTAAAAATTAAATTATTTAAAATTTCACGGTAGCTTTTTTAAAATTTAAAAATTAAAAAAAAAATAAATAAAAATACACAGTTGGACTAACTTTTTTACCCATTCTTTCTAAATTGATTTTATAGTTTCAAATTATCCGAATTTTAATTACTTTGAATTTTTATTTATTTCATTTTCAATTTAGCAGAATTTAAATATATCCAAATTTTGATTGATTTAAGTTTCAAATTATTTGAATTTCATTTTGTTCAAGTTTTCATTCTCTTAAAGTTCAAAATATTTCAAATGTTGAATTTTTTTGTCAAGTTATTCGAAATTTAATTTATCTAAATTTTAATTAATTTGAGTATCAAATTATCCGAATTTTATTTCATTGAACTTTTTTATTGATTTAAACTCTAAATTATCTGAATTTTAATTCGTTCAAATTTTTATTTAATTTCAGTTTCAAATTATTCAAATATCAATTTCTCCAAATTTTAATTGGTGTATAAATTTCAAATTATCCGAATTTCAGTTTGTTCAAGTTTTTATTGATTTCAGTTCCAAATTATTATAACTTCGGTAAAGTTCACTTTAATGATTAACGATTTAGAAGAAAAAATATTTTTTTATGCAAATTATTGTAATTTATCATTTTTTTTTGCATTTTCTCAATCAACAATTTTTAGAAAAAACTTATTATTTTTTTAAAAATATATATTTCAATTGTTCCTCATAAACGTTGTGAACTTCATCGAAGTAAATTATTTTAAAAATTCAAAACTAAAAGGACTTGTTTAAAAAAAAATAAAATAAAATAAAAAAACTCTGAAGGATGCGAACTGCCCTCAAGGATTTTCAAGTAAATGGGTTAATTTAAATTCTAAGAACTCACTGAGTGGTCTCGGGGGTTCCTCGACTTCTTGAGTGACATGACTTGGAGTGATGGGAGTTCGTCCGACGGTAGTCACCTCATCTTGAGCATAGGCAAGATTTTCTTGCCCAGAGAGACTCGTCGCGTGACTTTCCAAGGCCTGAAGTTTCTTGGATTCACGAAGTGAACGATTGATGTATTCCTGTCTCTCCTCTTCATCTTTTCGCTTTCGCAATTGCTCCTGAAACAAATTTTATTTTAATTAAAGAAAAATTAATAACAATATTATAATAATATAATACAATAATAAAATTTCAATTTAACAATATACTATTTTTTTTCTTAGACACTTCGCCTTCATTTTTTCCATTCCAGTGAATTTTTTAATTTTCTATAAATATCTAGTTTTTCTTATTCCTTATAAATTAAAAAAATTTTCATTTCTTTATTCCTATTTTTATTTTCCATTATTTTTTTCATTTTTTTTTTTATTAAATTCCTAAATTGAAAAAATTAATTCAATTTAAATGTAAAATTATAAAAAATTCGGTAATAATTTAAAAGCGAAAATTTTAATTTAATTTAGCAATTGAAAGTAACAGTTGAAATGTTTTGCCAATTAGAGAAAAAAAAAATGTTGTAGCCAATAAAATATATATAGACGAATGTTGTCTATGGGGAATGTTTATCTTTCAGGAATCCTCTTTGCTGGGATAATCTAGCTTTTAAGTCGTGTATATATATATAGTTTGGAATTTTAAGAGTCTCATGGGGGTTTAAAATTACACGTCTCAAATATATACAGTTACAGGAAGGTGTGTTATATTGACGTTATAATAAGGATATTATGCATTAGGGAGATGATACATAACGATGCAACCTGTTCGAAATTAAATATCCCTTTTCGAAACAATATATACCGAACAACGAGAAGCTATTATAAAGTGCTTGCTATACTCATCAATATATAACTTTCAAGTGCTTAAGCAAACTTGAGAATTCCTGTTATGAAAATTTCAATTATCAAAAGATTCAAACTTCAAAATTATCTTGTTTAAAACAGATTAACTAAATCAAAATTTGTGATAAAACGTAATAAAAAAAATTATTTTATCGTATTTTTTTCCTTTCTCAAAAAATTTTTTTTTCTCAATTTTTTGTTCAAATTCACCTTTTATTTTATTAATATTTGAAATTTATTTTTTTTTTATGGAATTATAAATTTTTATAAAAATTAAAATATAGAAATATTATCCTTAGAAAGCAATTATTAAATGTATTATATTTTTATTTAAAATTTTTACAACTTTCGTAACCGTTAACTGGGACTTTTATGGTACGAAAAACGAAATTTTTTTCTTTGTTTTTTGATTAAGGAAAATTCTAAATTTTATAAAAAAAAATGTTTTAAACTATTTAGTCGTGACATACTTCTGAAGATATTCTCTAATTTTTATTAGAAAATTTTTTTTTTATCTAAGGTATGTAAACATTTTGTTTTTCATTTTATAAAATTGTCGTGCTTTTTATTTTTTTTCAAATTTTTTTTTTATCGAATTGAATTTTTTGAAAGTCCTAAAAATTTTCGATATTTATTTCAATTTTTAAAATTTTTTATTATCCTATTTCTGTAAAATTTTCGTATTTTTTCTCCTAATCAATTTTTTTTTATAAACATTTTTTTTTGCAATTTTTTGCCCAAATTCTCATTTTATTTTATGAGCAAGAAAAAAAGAAAAAGTAAGAAATAACTGAGAATTTAATTAATAGAATAAAAAAAACTGAGAATTAACGAAGAATTTTTCAAAAATTCGGTAATTTCTTTTCAAAAATGTTTTAAGATATAAGTAATTAAAATTTTGTATTTGTCTGTAACTTTTTTCTTCCACTCAAATTCACATTTTTTTTTCGAAAATTCCTAAAAAAAATAAAAAATTCTTACAATGAAGACCAAATTCTCGATTTTCTCTCGTTTTTTTCAATTCCAAAAACTGTTTTTTAAATTTTTACATTTTTCTACGACGTTTGTCATATTTTAAAACGATTTTTTTCACCGATTCTTTTTTTTAAATTCTTAAAATTTATGTGTACCGTCAAACAAGGCTTTTATAGTATGAAAATAGCAATTCTTTCGTTTTATGCTTAATTCAATTTTTTTTAATTTATAAAAAAAATGGTTTAAACTATTTAGTCGTGTCGTGGACATACTTTTGAAGAATTTTTGCGAATTTTATTAGAAAAAAAAAAAAAATTGTTCATCTGTGTTATGTAAAAGTCTCTTTTTTATTTTATAAAATTCTCGTCCTTTATATTCTTTTTCAATTATTTTTTATTAAATTGACTTTTCTTGGAAGTTATAAAAATTATCGTTTTTTTTTTTTTATTTTTCTTTGGATTTTTTAATATATCTTTCATTTCTATAAAATTTTCGTATGTAATTTTTTCAAAATAATTTTTTTCCATTTTTTGTTTCAGATTCTTCTTTAAGTTCATGAAAAAAAATTTTAATTTATTTATTCTTCAATTCTGCGTGTCTACTAACTGTGAAAAGCAAGAAATAGTTGTTAATTTAATTTATAGAGAAATAGCCTGGAATTGACGAAATTTTATTCTTTTTTAATAAATCATGAATTTTTTTCAAAATGTTTTAAGAACTAAAATTGTTCTTTTTTTGTAAATTTTATTTTCATCTTTAATTCTAATTTATTTATTTATTTTTTTTTTGTAAATTAAAATGTTCAAATATTTTTTCAAATGGGACAAAATTCTCTATTTTTTCTTGCTTTTTTTCAATTTCTATAACAAATGGTTTCTTTCATTTAATTTACAATTTCCCATGAACTTTGTAGTTTTTTTAAAAACGGATTTTTCTCTCCAATTTTTTGTTTTGTGTTCTTTTTTTCAAATTCGTAAAATTTATGTATTTTTTAGTTTTTTATTTAGTTTTTTTTTAAACAGTTTTTTCTCTCCAATTTTTTTTTGTGTTCTTTTTTTTTAAATTCCTAAAATTTATGTATTGTTAACCAAAGCTATTATATATTTCGGGTACGAAAATCAAAAAAAAATTTTATGCTTAATCAAAATTCTAAACTTTACAGAAAAATATTATTATTTTGAATTTATTACTCGGCGGTCCCGGTTGACGGTAGGTACATGATTCTTATCAAAATTAAAAAAATTAAAGAAAAAAAAAAGAAAGAAACGCCCTTTATGTACTTTTCTATTTTTTTTTTTTATTATTAAGGCAAAGAGTTTTAGAGAATGAGTTCTCTCTTATATTTTTATCGTATTTTTTCTTTTAGAAATATCTTGTTTAACAAGCCTAGAACAATGTGTGGTTCTTTGGCTGTAGACTGATTTTATCTTGCCACCCTTGTTCCACTCGAGAAAACCGAGAACGTTCATCTGAGAAACCCTACGTACATTAAGGTGACCATGGGGCTTCAGCAAAGTATTTATCCACCTTTAGAAAATTATAATACACAAAACTATGTTGTAGTTGTAAAATAATGATAAATCATTTAATTCCTATTTCAATTATCTTACACTAAAGTACAAACATGAGAATTTACAATCTGAATTATAAATTGACTTTTAATATAATTTATAATATATAAACCAGATGCTGTATTATTAAATTTCATTAATCATAAAGTGGGCGTAAATTTATAGATAATGGCTAAATGGATGAATTTTTTATCACGACTTTATATACAATTATTATATAAAAAAATTATTGCGAAAATATTCCCAATTTTAATTTTCATGGTAGAAACCATAAAAAAAAACCAAATTTTTTTTTTTTTTTTAGTAAAATGTGCAGAATTTTTCAAAAAATTTTAGAAGAAAGTTGTTGAAATACATTTTTATATCCTGTACACTTTTGGAAAACTTTTGCATATTTTACCCAAAAAAAAAAAATTGTTTTTATCTTTCTACGGTTTTTATCATAAAAATAATCAAATTTATCTATTAAATAAATATTCTCTTATTATGATAATTCGGATAAATAGAAATTTTGTTAAATAAAAAAAATTAATGAACTAGAAAATTTGTTTTAAAAAATACTATCTAAATACACATTTCGAAAAAAATTATGTTGAGTTAAAATCTTTTGTTAAATATTTTTTTTATTTTAACATTTTACCTTTTTTCTTTCAATTCATAGAGAAAAATGGCAATTTTTATGCAATTTTTATAAACAATAACTATTTTTATATCAGTAAAATATATACTCTCTATACAATCATAAACCCGCAAAGAAATCGTTCATTTTCGTTTATATCTGGGACAAATAAAATTTATTTGAATTAAATAAAAATATATTTTGTCTTAGAGCCTATAATAACTTTTTATTTGTTTTAAATAAAAAAAAAATTATTTCGCACAAAAAAAATTTTAATTAGCCCAAATAAATTTTTTATTTAAATTAAATAAAATTTATTTAAAACAAATAAATATTTATTTCGCTCTGAGGTAAAATATATCTTTTCTCTGGGTGTAAACTTTTATCAGTTGTTAAAAATTTCTTTTTTTTTTTAAATTAATTTTTATTAAATTTTTGTTTGCGTAAAAACTATATTCTTCAGTTTTGAGGTTATGTCAGTACTTTCATTCTCCTTAAGGCCAGGCCCAAGTCATGTCAGGTGTTCCATTGAAACTTCAAAGGAACAGCTGACTCGACTTGGACCTGACCTTAAGGCCAGGTCCAAGTGAGGCAGCGCCATCTACATTGATACTAAGATTTTGGAAAATTTTCAACAGCCTTTTCTTGAAAACAAGATAGTAAAATGCTTTTTCCTTTATGGATAATTGATTATTGATTATTGGCAAGATATACACCAGCTAAAACTTTTTTTGAGTTAAAATAATAAAAAAAATTTCATGTCAATAAATTAAATATGAGCACTTTTTTCACAAAAACTGTAACAGTACTTTCTCAGAAATTACAAGCAAAAATGCAATTTCCATTTGGAAAATTAATAAGCGCTAAAAAATACACGACCTAAGATTTACCAATCACGAAAATAACAAAAAAAAAGTATTTTAACATAACACATTTTACTCATTATGACAGCCGTTTGGCAGGTTATATATGTCACGAGACGTTTCGCAGATTTGCCGAAAGGAGGAGATTGGCGCTGTTGCTAACCACCTGAAATACATAATCTACCAAAGGGCTGTCACAATCAGTAAAGCAGTATCAATATGTTAAATATTTAATAAAATTTTTTTTTGTTA